CGTACACTTTATGTCTATACCTATATATTGTGGCTTGCAATGTGTATGGCAGATATATACCTATATTTCGTGTGGCGTGTTTCTATACTATACGTGCAGATGGATACGATAGTGAGGCTCGTTATCGCGCGTTTTATAAGCTTTATTTTCGTGAGCTGTGCCGAATGATCGTTAAGAGTTCAATTAAGTATATTATTTTCACCAAAGTGCGCCATTTCCAATTTTTCACAGTAAAATACGAATTTTGGATTTTTTCTAAAGTAATTTCTCTTAATAGATATTTATTTGAATTGATACTGCAGCGTGTTCACTCGAAGCTTGCACAATCGCGCGCGTACAAATTGTTTGTGGCGGATCTTGATCAAGTTGCAAAAACGAAGCTATTGCAAAGCCGAGAGTGCCGAACTCGCATCGTAGACAGCGCATTAGTATCAGCCAGCATAAGCAACAAAAGTATACTGAAGATGGCCAACGAAAAACCGGTATACACGAGCTGTGTTGGCGTAGCGTCGAGAGAAGGGGCCTGTATATAGCCCGCCCAAGATTAGGCACATGTTCGCGAGGAGAGAAAGAGATATAGAGCGAGAGAGACAGAAAGAAAGAAAGCACCTCGTTCGCTCTCATCGTACCCTGTTCCAAGTTAACCGAATGCGCCACTTGTGGGCCGGGCCTTGTACACTGTGCGCGCAGTCATCGCACCGTGCCCAACCAAACTGCACTGCACTAGCGTTTGGGGACGCACATGGCCTTGACCCCTTTTTCTCTCTCCGACTCTCGCAGTCGAGTGCGTGGCGTGGCGTGTGCGGCGTGCGTGAGTGAGCGCGTGCGTGCATCCCTTTTCGAGTAGTACCTCCGTGGCAAACATACTACCCTGTAACTTTACTTATTAATTTAGATTATGTCACAAAAGAGCTAATTGCCCGAAAAATCCCTCGTCGAGGCGGCATTGGCATTGGGCAGATGAGCAGCGCGGCTCGACCAGTCGTGGCTCGTTTTGCATGGTAAACCCATCTTATTTCATTTCACACTTGTAAATATTTGATCGGAGAGGGTTGTTCCAACTCATCGTGGCGTGCCATCTCCGAATCTTCTCAAAAGACCTTTCGGCTTGGCGTGTACACTTGCGAGTATGTATATGTACAACGAAACGAACAGAGATACATGTACCGCGTGCCATGTATACACCATGCGCGTCCCGAGAGAAAGAGAGTGAGAGCGCCGAGCCCGCGGTTGTGCGCCGCGCGCGATTAAGGGCGTGGTCTTGGTGCGGTATGCGCTGGTACACGACATAGCCCCTCCTGTGCTGTAACAAATGAGCCTCCTGCGCACAAACACACACTTACACATACGGCATGGAACCGGATAAAAGTGTATCCGAGATACACCGACTGTATATTTCTACGTGTCTGTATGTGTGAACACGAGCGTGTAGCGGCTGACGGCTCGTGCACGAATTGCTGTATACATACACCGCGGCTACATACATACACACAAGCGCGGAGCCGCTGGGAGGGTCGTTGACAGCTCTGCGGCACACGATTCTCTCGGCCTTGCGCCACGAACGTCGGCCTCATGCTCGCCTAGTAAACTGATACAGTTTATTGGTCTTGTTCAGTCTATTGGTCTTGCTCTCAGTTTGGAATGTGTCAAAAGCAGGGCGAAAAGAGAGAGAAAGCGAGAACGAGAGAAAGAGAGCGAGAACGTAAGATAGAGGAAAAGACTTGCGGCGCGTTCATGTTGCGCTGGTACGTTCACTATGATTTTCAGACAAGTACCCTTTACATCTATATACGTATATGTATTTATATACTGCTTGTGTATCGTGCGTGTATTATATATTGCTTGTACTGATAATGTAAAATTGTGCCGTGTGCCAGTGCGCCAAATGCAGAGCAACAAAGAGCAGTAAAAATAGTGGCACAAAGGAATAAGAGTTGCTATTAGAATGATTAGTTGACAATACTAATTAATTGCTTAATATTCATTAATTGATTAATTAAACAATATCCATTAGAGTAATTAGTTATATGTTCATGGAAAATGATAAAATATATAATCAAACGAATTTTCATGAAACAATATAATTCAATTACAATCATTATCATGCATACTTAATTAAAAAACGATTATGTTCTCACATAAAGAACATAATGAATTGCCTGATTTTTATGCATGCAATTAAGATAGTTTAGTGCGCAGAGCAATTTTATTTTTTTAGTGAGAATATCATTTCTTCACATGACTCTAAGTACCTACTATAGGCGTGCTTTCTTACATTGCGCAAGCATTGCTATATCCTTGTGAGCAATCAAACTTCTATTTCTGTATCCTATTATCTATAAATGGTAAACTTTAATTTGGTCACTAACGAACAACTTGAATTTAATTTTGACTACTTCGAACGATTGCAAAACCGTATAAATAACCAATAACGTAGACCTTTAAATAGCAGCAGGCTACTTGATAATTTATTTTTCCCATATACTTGAAAGAAAATGCCGAAGGCATTGAACGATACCGCGCCAATTGAAAATTTTACTTCGCCTTCGTGGCAGTTTTCGAACAAAAAGCATCACAGCAAAATCGACTTGATAGAAAGGAAGAGGGGGCATTCCTAATTTTCAAAGCCACGAAGAAGTAGCTAACTGCTGCTACCTCCTAGTCGCCTGCTACGAATGTCAGTTGGGCTCATTTTTTTCTTAGAGCTCGTCAAAAATCATTATTAGTCATTGCGCGCCACAACTACACGTGCTTGGGCTAAGTCGTATTCATTTTTTCTTTAATAATTGCTTAATATTACTTTCCTTGGTAATAATAAGCTGAATTTGGTAGTGTATCTTTTTGCAACAACAAAAACGAAAAAATTGCGACTTTTAGTGAGCAGCGTATGCGTACGCATCCATTACTATTATTATATTATACATGGCTCAATGAGGTTTATTTATATACATACACGCGAGGCGTTGTGCAGTCATGCACGCACGAGACAGGAAATGCGTAAACAATCGTCATCGCCGCCCGTATATACGTATGCACGCATATATGCACACACACATGCACACACTTGAACGACTTGCGTTTGGTCAGCACGAATGGATTTTCTTAGCCTGCTTCAAGTTCTAGTCGCCTAGTATAAAAATGGGCAGATTATCGATTTTTTCCAATCGAAATCTTTTTCGAACGGGCCTGATGGATCGACACTTGGTTTGGCTCCGGAGCATCATGTTATCCTGATCGATGTCACCTTCTCATTTGCATATGGTCTCTGCTTAGTGCTCATATAGGTTTCCAAGTCTTTCATTTTTACTTTCTGTTTATCATTTTTTAACCGTTTATATAACATAACGGTTAAGGTACTTTTTTCAAAGTTTAACAAACATATTTTTCTTTGATTCTTTTAAACAATTGCTTGGCACAAAGTTGCTAGTAACAGATTTTTCAACAAAATTGAAACAACAATGTATAAAAGCATTGTATCTCAGAAATGTGATTTTATCACTGAACCTTGCTTTGATGTCAGCGTTGGAGAGACTTTACAATTATCGATGAGCTCGGAGGTGCACCAAGGGTTTATTTTCACGTTGGTCATGATCGCCTGCTCCCAAAACCAACCAAGTGGCGATTGAACAAAGGCAAAAGGGCCCTCGAGCGATGCCCGAGGCCCTTGTCGAAGGAAGGCTCGGGGCCTTGCCCGCGCTCTATACTTAAAGAGCAGCAAATTACAGAGTAGAGCTCTTAATAATATACGTGAAAAATGAGCAACGTAAATTGGACACTTGTCCAACGTAATTGTACAGCTATACAGGTTGTAGTTTGTTATAACTTCGCATTGGTACTTTTTATACATATTCAACTGTTATTTTGTTGATAATTTTAAATCTTTTGTTTATTAATCTTGTGCTTATATTTGAATTAGAGAGTGGAAAATTAAGATGTGACGCGTTACAAATTAACATGAAAGAAAATGACACGAATTATGCTATAATTTATTGATTTTATAAATATTTAGATATCAAATAGTATTTGATATATCCTATACTCTATAAAAAAATTACACAACTCACTTTTACTTGCGGGTGGAAAAAAATTCATTACTAGTCATTTGGAAAGAAAAATCATCAGTCCCTAAACGTTAGAAGGATACACGCATCATTGTGTCGGTTGTACCCTCTGGTCGCAATAGAACTTATTCAGTGTACAGGAAAAGAGCATACGTGCGTGTAGAGGTCAGTCATGTATTCAAGAGGATACCGTGGAAGGAGGGGCCGGTAAGGGGTCTCGCTGAAGTTCCCTCGCTTCACTCATGTTTGCCTGCTCTTTGGTCAAACGAAAACATCCGTCAAACAAAGAATCAAGAAAAAGACCAACGGCCGCGTATACACGCATACACACGGGTAGGATCTTCGTCCCTACTCGCACGTGTCCGATGTTTTTTTCGAACGTTATTATAGGGTGTGCTCCTTTTAAAGAGAGTTGGTATACGCTTCAGTCGCCCTGTACTTTGAGTAATTTAGAATATGTGGGCTTTCTTGAATAAAATAGATATTTTGCTTGAGCAGTTAATTTCTGGCGTGTCTTTTATGTGACAAAGATTTCAAAATTAGATCATGAAAACTTCGTTTTTCATGTAAAGAGTATTTCCTTGATTCTAAAGAAGTTTCTCGGGCTTTAGCACGGAATTTTAGAATTTATTTTAGTACAAACTCCAAGGTTAAAACGAAAAATTTAACTCTAATATTTGGATTTCTACCAAAAATATATTCCGAAAATTTCGTGAATACCCCCGTTATTTTTTCTATAAAAATCTACGTAAGCTTTTCAAAAAAATATTACTTAGAAAACGTGTTTGAAATTTTTCGTTTATACGTTGACTGTCAAAACATGTCAAAGTTCTCTTGATATAAATCTATTAAAAAAAGCTTCAATGCATGTTCAAATAAAATCATTTAACGATCAAACTATGCAATAATTTTTAATAATTATTCACATTATTATTGCAGGAAATCAACACGCGGTTTTCAACAGCCAATCCACCATTCAAATAGGCGGCCGTTGGAATCGCGGTAAAAATAAGATTGACAAAACCTTCATGGGTATCATATCGGGGCTGATCGTTAACGGCGCGAGGATATTCGAGCTAGCCGCTGCCAAAGATAACAGAGTCAGCATCAAGGGCGACGTACAATTGTTACCACTGGGGAGTCTCGTCGATAGAGCCGCTCCACTGCAACGCATGCAACAGGTTACTTTTCCATTATTTTTTTTAAAGTATCTATGAATCTCTTAGTTAAAAAAAAACAACAACTACAACAAAGTAATTTTAATTCCAGACACCGGCATCGGGCTCACCAGGAGTAGCTGACGATTTAATCTTTTCTGGCGCTGGTAGTGGATGCGCTGGCGACGACGAGGACGAAGACTGTACACCTATTTACGAAAATGGATCAGGTATGTTTTTCTATAAAAAAAATATCTAAAAAAATGTTTAATCGGTACTAATGGATACGATTAGAACACGCGTATTCAACGTGCTTTGCTCGATATGCTATCCCCCACGTTTGGCTTATACTCATATACAAGAGATGAGCTGGCGATGCAGATCGTGTTGCATAATGATCGGGGCGAGGAAAGGGAGAAGAGAGAGATGATGCGAGAAGAGCCAAAGAAGAGTATACCTATTCGCATTCATGTTCGCCCGATGCTATCTACGATTCATTTGCATATTTAGGACCCCTTGACGAAAGAGTCGGGGTACGCGCGTGTGCACTGTTTACGCATCTTTGCATGCATAATGCATGTACAAGTGCTTGTGTATGTTGCGGGCGCAGGTCTCGAGAGTTGGCTCTTTCCGCTTTATGCGATCTCGGTGGCGAATCTTCTCCGCTCGACTAAAAACTCAATTCCACGACCAAAATCACTTTCGATCTCGTTGCCAGCGAAAGCGCCTTTATATTATATACTGAAAGCGCTTCTCGTATACTGCTATAGCGAGCGTTTATAAGTCGACCAAATATCGGAAAAAGCTTCTCGTTTAATTTCAAGCATAATCGAGGTATAAACAATGCTAACTTTTCACCCACAGACGATCTAATTACTCCGGTATACGTGGCTTCAACAAAGTCAACAGTGACCGTGAGGCCCAAAATCCACGCACCCAGCAGTAATATGCAAGAGAAAAACATACAGTGTGATGACGAGGAGGAGTGCAACGAGGAGGGCTCTGGTGATTCCGGCAATAGCGAGGATATTTTTGTTCCCTCTTCCACTGGTACTCAATTTTATTGAAAATAAACTTTTTGTTCAACTGTAAAACATCCTATATTATAACAAACTTTTATATCACGCAGCGAGATCCAGTCCAACGTCGGGATACAACACGACCCCGCGTTACGCTGTTCAATCCAGTTCACCCGGTTTAGCTATCGGCACGACTCAAGGCAGCAGTAGTCATCGAGTCGAACCACACACGACGCAGGCTACTCAACACGGTTACTCAGTTACTAGCGATTCTATTCCAAGGTGAGCATGCGATTACCCATTGCATTGTTACTGCTATTGATAAAAATCTAACATTTGTTGGATCGTTTGTTGTAGTTCCGCGACGGAGCGGTCAACGACGACGACTACGAGTACGACGCCCTCGACAACAACGACGACGACTACGACGAGTACGACACCCTCAACCACAACGACGACGAGCTACTACACGATCGAGCACAGAACTACCACGTATAGAATACCTTCGTACACGGTCATATTGCCGCCCAAAACTACGTCGAACAATAATAACAATAACAATAATAAGCGTATCACGTCCGAGACCGCGGAGAACGCGGCACTGATTATCGGCATCATCGCCGGTGCTCTCATCGCCATCGTTCTCATAATCCTCATTATCTTGAAGTTCAAAGGCAGGCCCGAGGCCAATTACAAGATCGACGATTCCAAAGGTTTCTGCCAAGAGCCGAATGCGGCCCTGCTCGGCGCAGCCGGTGGCGGAAGCGCTCAAATGGCCGGCGCGGGTGGTGGCCAGTCGTATAACGGCAGCGTCAAGAACGGCCAAGCCGCGAGCAAAAACGGCAAAGGCCGACAGCTCAAAGACATTAAGGAATGGTACGTGTAATAATTGCCCTGCAAGCCAAGACTGACATTATATATAAATATATACATTATATAAATATACATACGAAAAAAAAAATTATTTAAACTAATAAATGATGATAATAACTGTGTGCGCACCTATTATAATAGCTCACTGATATACGCACGCGTTCATGCGAGCGCTCAACTATGTATGTATATTATGGCTCTGCTGTCTCTCTATACGTATATTAATAACCATCGTGACATGTATTATACCTACATAATAAGTTCATCCATAAGTACATTCATTATATATTGTATATGTGTATTACCATTGATATAGGTACATGCTTCTACAAAAATCACCTACGCATACATATATTAAATGAAATTGATCGTGGCATACATGACTCGGTTACCGCTTACACATATATATTACCTAGATAGACATTATTTTCAAAGTGTTCAATTAAAGGTGATTGAATCAATGGAAATTATGAAAGAAAAATAATACTCGCGAAAAAGGTCTTCTTTTGCTAAGTATACTTTTTATTACTTAAATGCATATGCTTGAACACACTGTATTAATGATTGCAAACTGTGTGTATGATAGTATTAATAAATGCATTTTCTGTGACAAGTGATTCGCGAAGCACGTACTATGAGCGCCATGTATATGTATGAGTGCATTTAATCGAGCGAACTTGAGAACAAGTTCGACTAAAAAATTTGCGTGTATTTTAAAGTCACGTGTGGTTTATAAATATATAAATGGAATACTAATATTATCAACATTGAGAAAATGAAAGTATTTATGTATGAATAAAAAAGTAAAGTTTAAAGCTTTGCTCATAGTTTTATTGACCAAATAGAGCGTACAGTTCGTTTTTCTCTCCATAATTATATGTTCTGTTTGTAACGAAAATATTGCGTATGGTATGCGTGTGAATGTCGTTATGCAGTGCTTTTTATAACTCTTTTTCGCGCCTTTTTGGATTTTCATTTTGTATATAATCAAAGCCGGGCACGATGCTTGTAATTTATAACTATTCTATAAATCTGCTGACATTCGGTGGTCTTCATTGTTCAAAGCTGCGCATAAAAACTTCTCTTCTTCGTCTATCCTCTTCTTCCAACCTGTTGCAATTTTTCAACGTTAGATTGTATTCTTTTGACTCGATATACATATGAACATAAAAGAAATCTGTAGCTCTTATAAACATCTAGTCAATACTGTTCATCACTTGACCTATAGACAAAATACTAAAATTGTTGTTGTGTTTGCGTGATGATCACTAAAAAAATTCTTTATACATCAAATAGTTCCATAAAATATTTGGATATAAAGATGATTGGACGAAGCATTGAAATGAACAGAGTTTAATAATGCGTATGATTCCATTCTCAGCAAGTAAAGCATTTATTGTTGCATAGATGATAGTATTATATAAATATTACATATAAATAAGAAATATTTGTAAATTGTGTTAAATGTGTAAATTGTTTATTAAATTTTAGATTTTATTGAAGTGAAAAAAATGTGTAGACTTCATACTATAGTTAATGAATTGGTCGGTATACTGATACGGTATAAATATTATATTCGTACAAACGTAAACGATGCATAAATAAAATTATATCAAAGCTACGCTAAGCAAGTTGGTAACGAAGCCCGATTTAGATGAAAAGCAAACCATAAGTATATGCGAGTAAATTTAGTCTGCTTGAGTCGATGCAGTAATTCGCCCAATAATTCAAAGCATCAGTAGATTATGAGAGAAGCGAATTTAAACCGTGACTGAAGTTACATAAGAAAGTCTAAACTGTTCCGATGCCGATACACTCCCGTTTCTTACGATTGTGACTCTTAAACTATTCAAGTATTATTGAATGCGGTTATAGAAGTACCGGAGGCGTAATTTTAAAATACACTCATTTTCAAAACCTATAAGCGTTCCTTGAGCCTGTCCGAGGCCAATCGTTCCCAAATTTGAGCAATGATCGTAATTTGCTGGATTAGATCCACTGGATTATTAACTAAAGTTAGTATGAATGTCTTAATAAAAGACGTCTGCGCATATCAAGATGTCTCTAAATAATTATTATAAGCATATATTATACAAAAAATGCTCGATTTATTGACGTCGAATCGTTACATATGAAATATTTTCCATTTTATATTTCATTGAGATTTTGCATGTTTTCTAAAAAAAAATATCGAGTTATATCCGACGGAAACGAATTTAGCCAGAGCAATAAAATTTAGACACAGCAAGTTCGAGCGTAATAATTTTCGCGTGGAACGCGGACGCGACGACCAACAGTGCGCGATTCAAGAAAGTAGACAAAAAACATAAACGAATTCTCCGTATCGCATTTTAAAATCTGATTTTTGAAATATTTTGAAAACCACGAGGAATTACCAAGTATATGATAAAAAATTTCGAACATTGAATTTTTATTAGAATTGCTCACGTTCTGCACGTGTTTTAGTAAAGATTGATTCCGTCATTTGTCTGTACTAGAGGATGAAAAATGAATTAAAATAAATAAAAAAAATGTTTTGTGATAATGAATGTTGATTGAAAGCACATTATTTTATAAGCTACATCATTTAATATAAAAGATAAAAGTAAGATGAATTCGAAAGTTACGTTTTGATGCTCAAAAAAGGCTGCATAAGTATAGTATAGTTTTGATGGTTGAAGAGACATTTAATCACTCGCATATCAATTTGAATCACAATGAAACAAGTACAACAACGTGTTAATTCGCCACTATTATAACCCTAATTTTTTAGCTCTTTATTAATCAATGTTATAGATAACAATTTGCCAAGAAAAATAAATGTGTAATTCTTTTTTATCAAAAAAGTTTGGCTTGGAAAGTTAACTAAGTGTAACGAATTCAAAGTAAAACTGCACTGCAACCCTTTACAAATTCAGATGCAATTTTTATTAGTAAATTCTAATAATGCTGCACCCTATGCACTATTTCTGGTTAACATTCCAATTGATCGATTGTAAATCGTTTTCGAAGATACTTTTATCAAAGTAATTCAATAAATATTCGTAATGTTTGACGTTTAAAAGTGTATTCAACGTGTTCAAAACAAAATCTTAATTGTTTGCTTTTTTACAAAAATATTAATAAAACAAATTGAGTGTATTGCAATTATAAATATCAATATTGTTCATGCATACGATTCACCCGCACTCTCAATTGTTGTTATAGATTCTCTCACGACCGTCATGCGCGTGTGCGAGACCCGTATTCAAGCAGTGTCGATGATCATAATCATTGGGCACTTCAGACCTCACCACAGGTGTTTACGCATAGCGTATAAGGTCTACGTGACACTGTGAGATGTAGGCTCAAGTGTCGACGTTATGCTCTGACGTCTCATAGGCACAGCGCATTGATCGGTAAGATAGGGCACTTTAATTGTGTCGTTGCTTTTGGAGTCGGTTGCCGGGCTACGAAAATGTTGTCGCGCGTATTTTGTTTGTTTCGTTCGTTTGTATTACGCTCGATGTATTTTGTTACTCTGAATAAAGCCTCTGAACGATAAGCATCGCCTTACAATATTTCTTTAACCATAACATTTTGGTGCATCGGCCGGGAAACTAGTTGAGATTAGTATTAGTGATATCCGATTTTGTGCGTGTTGGAGAAATATTTCGCGATGAACCGTGCTGATTTTGAGGAAGGTTTACTGGTCTCCGATGGCGAAAATGAAGAAGTCGAGTATCCAGGAGAAGATATCGAATATTGGAACGAAGAGATCATCGATGCAAATAACGATGATGTCGACGGCCATTTCGCCGATCAGCAAGCTGTAGGCGCCCCTGCAGTTCATCGTCCGGCGGACCGACAAGGCTTCGCTCGTGCTGGTGCAGTTCGTCGTCCAGCAGGCCGTCAAGGCGTCGCTCGTGCTGGTGCAGTTCGTCGTCCAGCAGGCCGTCAAGGCGTCGCTCGTGCTGGTGCAGTTCGTCGTCCGGCAGGGCGTCAAGGCGTCGCTCGCGCTGGTGCAGTTCGTCGTCCAGCGGGCCGTCAAGGCGTCGCTCGTGCTGGTGCGGCTCGTCGTCCTGTGGGTCGCCAGCCCGTCGAAGCTGCTGGTGCTGCTGAGGTCCCAGCAAATCGGCAACCTGAGGCCGATGAAGCTGAATATCAACTGAACGCTGCTGCTGAACGTCAACCTGGCGCCGCTGCTGCTATACGTCGTCCTGTGGGTCGCCAGCCCGTCGCAGCTGTTGGTGCTGCGGGTGCACCGGCGAATCGCCAACCTGATGCAAATGGAGCGGCGCGTCAAGCGGCCGGTGCTGTTGGCCGTCAACCCGTCGCTGCGGCTGCTGCTGTTCGTCGTCGTGGCGGTCGTCAACCGGCTGGTGCTGTTGGCCGTCAACCCGTCGCTGCGGCTGCGGCTATTCGTCGTCGTGGGGGTCGTCAAGCGGCCGGTGCTGTTGGCCGTCAACCCGTCGCTGCGGCTGTGGCTGTTCGTCGTCGTGGCGGTCGTCAACCTGTTGCTGCGGGTGCTGCTGTTCGTCGGCCTGTCGGACGCCAACCAGTCGCTGCTGCCGGAGCTGCTCGGCCTGGTGATGTCATCGAGAACGTCGATGGAAATTTTCCTGATGACGAGGTGCGGCAACCAGCTTTTCCAATGGTCGCATTGCAGCTAGATGCGGCACATGGTAGAGATTTCGTGGACGATGGGTATGGCGACCAGCAGCCGTTCTACGTGGATGAAGATCAAGAGCTAAACTTCGAAGATTCAAGAGTTCCGGACGAAGTAGATTTTTATGATTATTTCGGTAATTTTGAGGACGAGCGAGCTAATTTTGGCCAGCGTGGAAATTTTCACAGCACAGCTGTTGTTGATGAACAAGGATTGAATGAGTGTAATTCGCGTAATCGTGTAGATTCAGCCGTAGATCCTTTTTCTCGTTTAGCTAACGTACTTGAGCGTTCTTTATTAAATAATTCTTCTTCGGGCAACAATGATTCGGTAGTTTTAAGTCGTATGACTACGGACAAGAATCTTCCCCGTTTTTCGGGCGATCCGCTGCATTGGCGTCGCTTTAAGAATGCATTCGAGAATTCTACGTCAATTGGCAATTTTTCTCAAAGGGAGAATATGACTCGTTTGTACGATGCTTTACGGGATGAAGCTCTTGAGGCGGTTAAAACTTCATTTGTTGCTTGCGACGATGCTGAAGCTGTAATGAAGGTTTTGGAACTTCGTTTCGGTAGTCCAAAGTTAATTTTAAATGCGTTGCTCGAGTGCATTCGTAAGCTACCAAGTCTGATTGATGAGCCAAATAGAATGATTGAATTCGCGACAAGTTTAAATGAGGCTGTGAAAGCTATGAAGTCAGTTCAAGGTTCATTGGGCTATTTACATAGCCAGGAATTAGTTGCCGGCATTTTAGACAAACTTCCATCTAATAAGATTGACGATTTTGTTGACTTCGCGGAGAATTTAGATCCCGAAAAACCGGTTTTAGAAAAAATTACTGAATTTCTTTTTGAAAAAGCGAGCAAGATAAATAAAGTCGGTATTTTGTCTTTGCAGGCAACTAATTCGAGCAATAAAAGAGCTCGCGCTGAAAAAGCTCATTACAGTAAGCCAGTTTATGTAGCGCAAAACGTAGATGAACCTCTAGCAAAGAAACCGAGAGTAACGGATGCATGTGATTTTTGTCAACGTAACAATCATAGTTTATCTGAGTGCCGAAAATTTGCGAGAGAACGAGTGAGTCAAAGATGGAAAATTGTGAGGAATAGTGGACTGTGTTTTTGCTGTTTAGAGAAGGGTCATATACGAGAGCATTGTAGAGAAGTCTGTAGTCAATGTAAAAGTCAAAATCATCATGTTCTTTTGCATGTGGATTATAAAAATCAAAATTCGAATCAAAATTCACATCAACGTTCAGATCAAAACTCGAATCAAAATTTAATTTCAAAGTCTTCGCAATCTGACGTGCCAACAACTTTATCTACAATGCAGCCGTTATGACTAGAATCGAATGTCTATTTACGCACTGTACCGGTTCAATGTAAAAACGTAAAAACGTGCGCTCTTTTGGACGATGGTTCAACGGTATCGTTAATCGATTCACAATTAGTTAAACAATTACAGTTGTCTAAGAAGCGCTTTCCTATGTCTATAAAGGGTATAGCTGGAGACAGTGCTTTGCTCTCTTTAACTCATCGAGTTTCATTGTTTTTGACGTGTAATAATCAAAATTTTGAACTGAGAGATGTTCTCGTGGTCGATAAGCTCTCAGATCTTTTACCAAAGCAAACAATTCCTCACGAAATTTTAAATTTGTGTTTTAAAGAATTAAACATTCACGTTGAATCTTACGATATGACTCCACTTATTTTGATTGGTCAAGATAATTGTAACTTGATTAGAGTGATACAAAGCTATACGTTCGGCGGAAATAATCTCGCTGTCTCGCGATGCACCTTAGGTTGGTCAATTCATGGGATTTATGAAAGTCCGATAATATCTTCGCATAAACGAGCGCAGAAACAGCAGGTTGTGCTTTCTATCCGCGATGTTAAAAAGGAGGAAGAGTGGGATAATCGTATAAACGAGTATTTTAGTTTAGATGGAATAGGTATTAATAACGTCAGTGGTTCAAACTCTGCTGATTTACGCGCCGTGGACATTTTGGAGAGTACTAGTCGTTTCGTTGATAATAAATGGGAGGTGGGTTTATTATGGAAGGAAGACACACCGAACAAGTTAAACGGTAAAGCGAATGCGTTACATCGATTGCAGTTGCTGGAGAAACGACTTGATAGGGACGCGAAATACGCCGAGTTGTATTATAAAGAAATAGATCGGTTATTTGAACTTGGTTACGCGGAAAAAGTGCCGGCAAATTCACAGGAAACGCGGGTATGGTATTTGCCACATTTTGGCGTTCAAAATGTGAATAAGCCGAATAAGGTGCGTGTTGTTTTCGACGCAGCGGCGCGCTCTAGGTCGACGAGTTTGAACGAGTTATTACTACCGGGTCCAGATTATTTAAAATCTTTGACGGGTGTTTTAATGCGGTTTCGACAATATTCTTACGCAGTTGTCGGCGATACTAAAGATATGTTTATGCGTATTGGTATTATCCCTGAAGATCGCGACGCGCAACGCTTTCTGTGGCGCGGGAGGAATAGAACGTGTGAACCATCGGAGTTCCGTATGCGCGTATTGTTGTTTGGAGCAAAATCGTCGCCGAGCACTGCGATTTTTATTAGAGATAAGAACGCGCGGCAATTCGCGGATCGTTTTCCATCAGCCGTAAAGAAACTCATTAACAATTCATATATGGACGATTTTTTGGATAGTTGCGAGTCCTCGGAGGAAGCTTTAGCAGTCGCGAATCAAGTAATTTTAATTAATCGGCAAGCTGGATTTGAAATGCACAATTGGTCGAGTAATTGTTCGGTTATTCACGCAGAGTTAACTGGCAAAAGCCACAGCGAAGTCTCACCGTATGTAGTCAATGCATCGCAACAAAACGTAGAGAAGGTTTTAGGTTTGAGGTGGCTGAACGAATCGGATTGTCTCGTTTTTAATGTAGACCTTTCCAAGGTTTCTAAGGACGTTTTATCGGGGAGTTCGGTAGCTTCAAAGCGGCAATGTTTAGGGCTTATGATGTCGATTTTTGATCCACTAGGCTATCTTATTCCATATACGATTCAAGCGCGTTTTATTTTTCAAGGTATTTGCAAAAATGGGACGAACTGGGATGAACCTATGCAAAAAGGTGATTTTTGGCTTTGGAAAAATTGGCTAAATAAACTCTCGGATGTAGCTCTAGTCAGGATAAATCGCTGTTATCAGTCACAACATTTTCAATCACGAAAAGCCGAATTGCACGTTTTCTGTGACGCGAGTAGTCGAGCTTACGGTGCGGTAGCATATTGGCGCTTTCGCTTGCCCGACGGGTCTTTTCACGTGGCGTTTATCATGGCAAAAAGTAAGGTTGTAAGTTTAAAGTCAAAAACTACCATTCCGCGTCTCGAATTACAAGCTGCCTTGATCGCGGTAAGATTAGCTGAATTTATTCGTAAAGAACACGATTTCGAAGTTACACAACGATTTTTTTGGTCAGATTCTCGTGTTGTTCTTCAATGGATCGCGAAGGAACCGAATGCATTTAAATCGTTCGTGTCAAATCGGTTACACGAGATTTGCAATAAAACGAAGGTCGAGGAATGGCGTTGGGTTTCGTCCAAAAATAATCCAGCAGACGATGCGACTCGTTACGTACCCGATGCTATAAACAATTCAAGTCGGTGGTTCCTAGGACCCGGTTTTTTATCCGTTCATGAAAATTTGTGGGTAGAGTCGAGCTCGAATTCGGAGGTGATTTTAGGGAACGATGTCTCACGAGAGTTGAAAGTAGTTTTGACATTTAACAAGAATGATTTTTTGATTGACTTCGCACGATTTTCTTCTTGGGAAAAACTTGTGTATAGTGTCGGTCGCGTTTTAGAAGCCGTGGCGAGGTGGAGGAAACGTGAAATTGTTCCCGTACAGTTAATCGCGAAAGCTGAGGTAGAATGCATAAAAATAAGTCAAAAAACATCGTTTAGTCAAGAAATTGTATCATTCAAAAAATTCAAATCCGTTGATAATCATAGTCGTGTATTTTCTCTTAGTCCGTTCTTAGATGCAGATGGTATTTTACGAGTGGAAAGTCGAATTTCCTTTTTCAAGCATGCGGGATTTTCAAACAATCCGATTTTACTTGATTCGTCTGATTATTTTACGACGCTACTGATCGAGAAATATCATAGGAAATTTTATCACTCTAATCATGATACAGTCATAAACGAGTTACGACAATCTTATTGGATTGTGGGTTTACGTAGAGCATTAAAAAGAGTGGTGTCTCATTGTAGCATTTGCAAAATTCTACGAGCAAAGCCTGTGCAAAGTCGCATGGCGGTATTACCCAGAGCTCGATTGGCATTTCGATTGAAACCGTTCACTCATTGTGGTCTTGATTATTTCGGCCCGTATGGCGTTAAAGTAGGACGCAGGATTGAGAAAAGATGGGGAGCTTTGTTCACTTGCATGACCACGAGAGCTATTCATCTCGAACTTGCTCATACATTGAACGCCGATTCTGCCATTATGGCTCTTAGACGATTTGCTGCGCGTCGTGGCACTCCGTCAATTGTATATTGTGATAACGGGACAAATTTCAAAGCAATGAGCAAAGAGCTGTCTGTAGCGCTACTTTCGTTAGATTTTTCTGTTATTAAGGATCATGCGTCGAGATGTAAAATTCTTTGGAAATTTAACCCTCCAGCAGCCCCTCACATGGGTGGAGCTTGGGAGCGATTGGTGAGATCGGTGAAAACGGCACTGTCGTATGTTTTAAAAGAGAAACACCCGAGTGATGAAGTTTTGCGTACACTGCTGGCCGAAGTCGAACACTGTGTAAATTCGCGCCCGTTAACTCATATTTCTAGCGATACGAAAAGCTACGAAGCTCTGACTCCAAATCACTTTCTGCTCGGCTCGTCCTCCGGTCAATTATCGTTGCCAAGGTTCGATAAGGTTTCTCTTAATCTAAGAAACCAATGGAAGCTGTCGCAATTCTACGCTGATTTGTTTTGGAAGCGTTGGCTACACGAATATCTACCATCATTACACCCTCGCAAAAAGTGGCATAAAGTTACCGCGCCTTTAAAAGTTGATGATTGTGTGTTAATATATGATGAAAATGTGAAAAGAAATGAGTGGAGGAAAGGTGTCATAATCAAACTTATGCCCGGGTCAGATGGCCAGGTTCGTGTAGCAGTGGTGCGTACGCAGCTTGGCGAGCTAACTCGCCCAACGAATAAGTTAGTAAAATATGCGTAACGTATTGTATTTAAGTAATTTGACTTTGAAGTCAATTGGTGGGGGAGAATGTTATAGATTCTCTCACGACCGTCATGCGCGTGTGCGAGACCCGTATTCAAGCAGTGTCGATGATCATAATCATTGGGCACTTCAGACCTCACCACAGGTGTTTACGCATAGCGTATAAGGTCTACGTGACACTGTGAGATGTAGGCTCAAGTGTCGACGTTATGCTCTGACGTCTCATAGGCACAGCGCATTGATCGGTAAGATAGGGCACTTTAATTGTGTCGTTGCTTTTGGAGTCGGTTGCCGGGCTACGAAAATGTTGTCGCGCGTATTTTGTTTGTTTCGTTCGTTTGTATTACGCTCGATGTATTTTGTTACTCTGAATAAAGCCTCTGAACGATAAGCATCGCCTTACAATATTTCTTTAACCATAACAATTGTAATGTTTCATTTGCTATTCATTACTTGACAGAAATTTTGTAATCAAACTTACTCTTCGGTTTCGAGTTGTGAGTTTTTTACAACAATATTTTACAAAAAAAATGTACATTACCGTACGCGTATTCAATCTCTAAAATTAATTCTGAGACAATTAATTTCACAAAAAAATATTGTCGAAATGAGTTTTTTGAGAAATATTTTTAAGCTGCATTTATATGAAGTTTATCGACTTACGGAGAAAGTATAAAACAAAAATAAAAACAAATTGTAATACTGACTGCTAAATTATATGCAATTCAACTGCCGATATAGTTTTCACAACTAATTATCGATGTCAGAAAAAAAATTAAATAATTATGCATACGAATTCGAACAAGTTAAATATTAATAATTTTCGTAGAGCACATATAAGTTTGCGAAAAATGCGTGCAAGTACCTTATTTTTAATGTAATAAGTTGCCGCGATGAGAGGTGACCACAAAAAATGTTTATTTTATCCCTGCAGAAAAGTTGAAACGATCATTATCATTTTGTCTGATTTGAAGAATGTAGCAGAACTTGATTAAAAACTTTTTAGTCTTTGAGCCCGCTTTATAATTTCGTTGGCACGTCTCATTGCGTTCACCTGCATATCCTTGAAATATACGAAAAAATTAGCGTTTTTGTATATGAAAACTAGAAATAACTGCATCTTCTATCGTACTATCTATCGAATGTAATGGGTATCATGTACTTTCACACTCTTCACAAATCGAAGGTTGAAGTATAAAATAATATATCAAACATGATCGGGAATCAATTTTAATTAGGTCAGTCGGAAAAATTGTAATCTACGTAGAACATTAATCTTTAGTATTGTACTTTAAAAATGAAGGAAGCTTGTAAAGCGAGATCGAGGAGTAAATGTCGCACGCTTCATAGCTAAATATAAATTTTATTCTGTAAACTAATGTCAAAGGTATTAAAAGCGTAAAAAACTTGTACCACCGAATAAAAATCTTGTATCGTTTCCGTTTGAAACACAGATAAAGGAGCAAAAAACTGCATCCAGCAAAAAGCATCAATTATCTGACGACTTGATACTTTTTCGTTAAAAACACAATGAGTTTGAATACGTGCAAGTTAAGAATTGTTTTAATGGACGATAAATAAATAGGCCATTTGCACGGAGGTTGTTGAAAGTGTTGTTTGATTAATGGTAACGACACGTGTATATTATCATAATTTAATGAGAAGCGAAAGAGAGAATATGATGAAAGATTTTTACTTGTATAAGTGTTTGGTTGTAATTGTTTTTTCGTATTTTATAAAACAGTCTGTTCAATATATAATACTCAGAGTGCCGACATCGACGATCATTGCCGATTTAAATAATGTAATTTAATTGTTCGGTTCCTTATAAATACTTTGTGTGTATTTTTACTAAATAATAATAAACATAAAAAGTGTGCGGTGTATATACCTACTGAAAAGTAATAATAAATTGTTAATTTCGTTTCGATACATCGAATATGAGTTTGTTATTTAAAAAGGGTTTGCTTGATATATTGACTATTTAAAAAATACCCTTTTTGATCGAGTGTAGAATCTCATAATACACATACACGAGTATAGTATGAAAATTGCATAAAAGAAAAGTTACACCTCTCGTTAAATAGTGTTCATGATAAAATTATACACGCGCAAAATATTTCATTGCAAATAGATACTATTGATTCACCCGGTCGCGACGAGAAAATATACGTGCGCATCTAAAAATGAATTAATACTGTCGAAAACAAAATTGGTAATACAGAAAATTTAAATAATCTTAATAAAACCATGTACAAGGAGATACGAATGAATTAATAATTTAATTAAGTGAGAGAGCCTCTTACCAATGACAGATTCGACATGAAATAAATTATTACAATATATCAGTGACATGTGTAAATAATATAGAAATATCATTGCTACAATTATAATATATTATAAATAAAAATGAAAAAAATTACAATTGTCTATTGTAGAGTTACTTATTTACTCTTATCCTTTACCAGTTATAAGAAATTATAAGTTGATTATGTTTTGCGCGAAAATATTTCTACGTGCCAATCGCTGCACGCAATTTGAATGAACGCGATTCGCTATCATATTTTCTGCGAAGCAAACAGGTTATGTTAAGTATGAGTTTTTCGATTACCTATCATAGAGTTTCTGTTAGTGTGCAAGTTCAGTAACACAATTTTACGATAGAAAAACTTCACAATTGTGTTGAAACATTGAAATGATTTGACTATAACAGTCAAACTTTGGTTTTATTGTGCTGTGCTGAATAGTTGAGGTAAATACCGGTAAATCGTGAAAGTTACGTTAGTAACGAGATAAATATTTTGAAAGCAGAAGTATTGATTGAAAAATAAATACTTCGGAAGTTTAAACATTTTTCTCAATAAATAACGGTAGCAATTGTTGTTGATACTTTAAACGAATAGAATAAAAAAGTTGGATAAAAAATACGTCGATATGCCGGAAATTAAAGTAACACCCTTGGGCGCTGGACAAGATGTTGGTCGAAGTTGTATTCTTGTGTCAATGGGAGGAAAAAACATCATGTTAGATTGTGGCATGCATATGGGTTTCAATGATGAAAGAAGATTTCCTGATTTTTCTTACATCACATCTGAGGGATCAGCTACCAATTTTTTAGACTGTGTTATAATTTCACATTTTCATTTGGATCATTGTGGGGCCCTTCCATTTTTTACAGAAATGGTAATTTTTTGTGTACTTGTATTGTTGTGAATTTTTTAATTGTAAATTAAAATCTATTTTAGGTAGGATATTCTGGACCCATTTATATGACTCATCCAACAAAGGCAATAGCACCAATTCTCTTAGAAGACATGAGAAAAGTTGCTGTTGAACGAAAAGGAGAAAGTAATTTTTTCACCTCTCAAATGATCAAAGATTGTATGAAAAAAGTCATTCCTGTAACGTTACATCAATCTGTAATGGTTGATGCTGATTTAGAAATAAAAGCATATTATGCAGGACATGTTCTTGGAGCTTCCATGTTTCATGTACGTGTTGGATCTCAATCAATAGTGTACACTGGTGATTATAATATGACTCCAGATAGACACTTAGGTGCAGCTTGGATAGATAAATGTAGACCTGATTTGTTAATTTCTGAATCTACTTACGCCACTACTATAAGAGATTCAAAACGCTGTCGTGAAAGGGATTTTCTGAAAAAAGTCCATGATTGCGTAGATAAAGGAGGCAAAGTACTAATCCCTGTGTTTGCTCTTGGACGTGCTCAAGAATTATGTATTTTACTTGAAACTTATTGGGAACGAATGAACTTGAAAGTACCAGTATACTTTGCTCTTGGTCTTACAGAAAAAGCTAACAATTATTATAAAATGTTCATAACATGGACAAATCAAAAAATTAAAAAAACTTTTGTTCAAAGAAATATGTTTGATTTCAAACATATTAAACCATTTGATAAATCATACATTGATAATGCTGGAGCAATGGTAGTTTTTGCTACACCTGGTATGTTACATGCTGGTTTATCCCTACAAATTTTCAAGAAATGGGCTCCTCAAGAAGGAAATATGGTTATTATGCCTGGTTTTTGCGTTCAAGGAACTATAGGTCATAAAATATTAAATGGTGCTAAACGAATTGAGTTTGAAAACAGACAAGTTGTTGAAGTAAAAATGTCTGTTGAATATATGTCATTTTCTGCTCATGCTGATGCTAAAGGTATAATGCAATTAATCCAATACTGTGATCCTAAAAATGTAATGCTTGTTCATGGAGAATATGCAAAAATGGAATATTTGAAGGATAAAATTAAAAAAGAATTTGGCATCAATTGTTACAATCCTGCGAATGGAGAAACAAGTTTTATTAATACCTCATCAAAAGTACCAGTTGATGCATCATTAGCTTTGTTAAAATCTGAAAACAAGGAGTATTCCTTGTTGCCACCAGACCCAAAAAGGAGACGACTCATTAACACTGTTCTTATAAGTCGAGAAGATGGAGTCTGTCTTACAGATTCTAATGAAGTAAGTTTTTAATTAAAATACAACATTTTTATTTACTTCTATTTTAAGGCATTTTACAAGTTATCTTTCTTATGACACTAGGCTGAAGAAGCTGCATCAATAAACAAACATACAGTGAGATTTACATCAACCATTTACATAAGAGATGCTGGAACAGTTGAATCTACAGCTCAAAAATTGTTGCAACCTCTTCAGGATAAATTAAAAGATTGGGAAATAAAGCTACTTGATGGATCAACAATCGGCGTTGAAACAGTTTTAGTGAAAGTCCAAGCAGATCCAGGAGAAGAAATCAATAAAAAAATTTACGTTTCGTGGACTAATGATGACGAAGAAATTGGAAGTTACATTCTTGGATACTTGCAAAATTTACTCTCCTAATTTTAGGAGAAATTTCAAATATTTTTGTTTGTAAATTGTATTATAAAAATTATTTTTTCATTCCGACGTGTATAGTAAAATTGCTTGCCTTCAGCAATATTATAAAAAACGTTGTTAAACTTCACGTGAACAGTGATTTTACGTTCTGCATTTTTAAACTGAAAAATTTGCAAATCACTTTTCGTACGTGAACATCCATAGCTTTATTTTTACTGCTTTTTGTATGATACGGAATGAAGTTCGAAAATGTAACTATTTATTACTTTTACTTGCAATAACATTATCTTCTGAATATTTAAAGCAGAGTACGTATAGGTTCATGTAAAATAAATAATGTAAATTAAGTAATAAAATGTTTATTTTATAATTCATGTTATTAGATAAATCTTTATCCATTTACCCTTTTTCAGTTTACAATCTTATAAAAAAATTTACTCATACTTCGAATAATTTTCTTAATAGTTGTAGTTACTTTTATGGGTAAGAGGCCGATCGAAGAATAAATCAAAAGGCTAAACAATCAATAATTTATATATCTATAAATTTCACAAAACATCTAATAAATAACTCGTCAAGTAGAAAAGGATTTCACAATTATGTAAATTAAAAATTATCTTGGACTATTTGAATGCACTCAAGTGTAATTTCTTTGATTAATTTTGATTGAAATATTTATAATGATATAAATATAGATTCAACGCCTCTTGATACCTCTTACATGTATGCACTAACACAATACAAATCTAAAAAAAAAAAAGAAACTTATAAAATACTATAAATAATTTAACAGGTCCAAAAATTGATAATTTCAAAAGTTAAAAAATAACCAAAACTAATCAATTTTAAATTTGTGATACATTGCCAATGATTTGATTCTATTGAGTAATAAATATTCTCTCGTTTAAAAAAGTCTACTAAAATTTGTCGTATAAGTATATTTGAAGAAGAAGAAAAAACCTTCTCTGTATTAATTATTGCACATAATTCATAAATATTTGTTCTACATTTTGTATATAAATCGTTTTTACGGTTGGAGACAAATCTCAATGGTAGATTCACATATATATGATACAAAGTTTTAGTTAAACTTGTATTCAACATTTCATTAAAATCACCTATACCACGAACATTGATAGTTCATTTTAAAAATCACTTTTTCGCTCGTTCACTTACTATCTAACTCCATATACAGCGGAAGGACATGACCACGAGTGCATTTCGTTGAAATTAATTGTAAATTATCAAAAACGTATATTTTATGTACGAACTATAATCTTTAGACCGTTTGATTTTCTATATAACAAAAAATAATCTCTTTAAAAAAAACGCCCTTACTAACATGCAACATTTTAGTTTACAGCTCGCATTTATGCATTTATATCATTGGGACCATTACACACACCATTTTTAATATTTTGTATCCAATCTTTTTTACTAACTACATGTTTAATCATTTGTATTTTATCCACATAATAAAATATTATACTTTATAATAACTGTATTATTCAATTATATTAGTCTTATATGCAAAGTCTGTTTGTATTTCGTAACATGACCATGCATGCTTTTGACACTTTAATCTTCTATGCCTCTTGTCACACCTCCACTTCTCTCTGACATCAGCGTACTTCGTTTTTTGGAGTTACTTTTTTCCTGAGCCACCCTGAAAATTGATTTAAATGAATTGTTAAAAAAGTATTTTTCTTGATGCTTTAGATGTTTTCATTCAATTTACCATTAGTAACTCACGTCTGTACTAAGGTTAAAAGAATGAAAGTGGAAACACTTGTATTAATTTTTTGTGTACCTCAGACCAAGTACAAAGTTGAAATTAAAAATCAACCTTGGAATTGATTTCAAAGAAAGATGCATGAATTTCGATAATTTTAGAACAATACACATGATTCAAAATAATTGAACTACTCACTCTTACAAATATTGAAATATAATTAAAGTGAAAACAATCAACTTTTGAGAAACAAAGCATAATCAGTAAAATAAAAAGTTAAAACCTACCATTATTGAAGGTTGTTTGTTAAAAGTTAGTTCAGATGTTTTTTTTTTGGAAAACAATTTACTCATTTTCATTTGCCACGGAAAATCTCCAATATTTAAAATTATCATCGAACTCATTTATTACAGATTTTTACTTCAACATCATTGGAAATTTTCCTTAATAGTAGAATAAGGTTAATAGAATTAGTAAAATTATTTCATTGGATTAAAGAATATAACAATTTTTAGTGAAAAAAGTGCTTTTGCTCCAGTGTTTGTGCTATTAAAAATTAAAAAATTGTTCGTGCTTTTTCGAAAAAAAATGTTGTAAATTCATTTCATTGAAATCGTTTGGAATTGGTAATTTTAAGTTACAAACTTTGATTTGACATTGCTAATGATTAGTTATGATAAGTTATTATGCATTCTACCGTGAACAATCATTTGAATCAGAGTTGATCCTTAAAAATAACCAGACTATAAATAAATTAAAATTCAGTTAATATTAAAGTACTAATATCTAAATATCAATGTTATTAAGTTATCTTAAAAATGTAAGTTTTCTGATAAAAACTACTATTTTTACTCAATTTACTCTAAGCAATACATTCATGACTGTTAATGGTAATTTGGTTATGAATCACTGCAACCAAAAGGTGCTGATGAAAAAAATGTGATTATCATAGTAGCCTTTTTTAACCCTTTTGGTATTGCAGGCAGTAGCTAATGCTTTGTAAGAATCACATTTTGTAATTGCATACCTGCCAGACGGCGCCTGTTGGCCATGGAATTCTTAGAAGACTGTCGAAACAATCAAAACACAATAATCACATAATTTGTTAAAAATTGTTAGATAAAACAGAGTTTGTACTAGATTTTTTGACGTGTCACTGCTTTATAAAAAATTTCTCGTTAAATTTGAATTTTCAATTTACGGATTGTAATATTTTTATCTCAAACAATGTATTTATGCACACTGCCCTATATAAGACAAACACTGGGAAAAAGTTTTGAGGTGTTATTAGATGTGAGTTAAAGTGATAGCGTTTGTAAGTGTTGATTTACTAATAAAAAAAAATACAAAAAAATAACTAAACAGTAACAAAATTTCAAATACCAAATTTCAGATAAATAATTAGTAGAAAAAAAACAAAAGTATTTTGAAACGAGTACTTTAGAAAAGTATGCTACTTTCATCATGTATGAAAGTATATCATTTGCAATCGAAATGCTAATTTTTTTTACTAATAAATCATTTGATATAATTTTATCAACGTGATTGAGAATCAACAACAGAAAACAACTACTTTGAAAGCCAATTGATTTTTCACGATTTCTCGTTAAAATCGAAATTTTACCTTCCGTTTTTTCTTGCTCTTTTTTTTCTGCTGTCCGTGGAAGTTATTTTTTGCAACTTTATTAGTCATGTCACAGGAATTAGTTAGGGAATCGTTGTCATTGTCTTCCGATTGTACTTTACCATTAGTGTCAATTAGGAAACATTCAAGCTCGGGATTCTTCAGTAGGGTTTGTTTTAAGACAGCTAGTGGACTTTGCTTTTCTAATGTTGTCTGTATATATTGATGTTAATTATTACAATTTCGTAGCAAAACAAAAAAGTTTTGCATGATTTTTTTTTTATTTCCAATTTTAAAATATGAATATATGCAAGTGCTTATAAGTCATGATAAATTCATGTTAATATGAACTATTCATGTAAAACATTAACGTTAGTTTCGAAAGCAGTAAAAAAAGTTAATACCCAAAAAGTTAAAGTTCTTATTCTTGTATATGAAATGAAATATAACCGATTTAAATGTCAATAAAAAAAATGGCAGTGCGACATGTTCAATTCCGAAATAAATTCGAACTATCACTGGTATTTCAAAATTTGAAAAAATAAAATAAAATAATATAAAATAAAAATAAACTCATGCTTTAGAACTAAAATAATAGTTAAAATATAACATTTCTTTGATATATTTAAAAAAAGATTCAAATAACTGCTATCATACTGACCTCGCTCTGTGGAGAATCATCATTAGGAGGACCGTTTTGTGCTAACTGTTCTGAACTACTACTATCAGCACTGGTGGTATTCTTAAAAAAAATTCATTATTAGAGAAAGTTATTCTAGAATTAATTTTAATCAAATAAAACCTACTTTTAGTTCGGACATCTCTTTAATTTCTCGTGCAAGTTTAAAATTATTTTGTTCTTCGTTTGCCAAAGCAACGTGGGTTTTTTCTAATTGTGCACGGAGCTGATTCACTTCAGAATTCAGACCTTCCAATTTTTTACTTTCCTCTTGTAATTGATGACAAAGCACGTCTTTTTCCTACAAAGATACTCATATTCATATAAATGCGGGGAAATCATAAATAAGCACATAAATCAAATTTTAATAATAACCTGTTGTAACTTTTCAACTACTCCAAGATCAGGTGTACTACTGCTGACACCCTTTGACTCACTTTGCCTTGCTTCAAGTTCGGCAACTTTTTGTGTAAGTTCAACACCAGCAGATGCCTTATTTTTAATTTCAGTGATTTCTGTCCTTAGATTATCGATTTCTACATCTTTAACTCTGAGCTGTGCCTGCCACCTCTTTTCTTCCGATTCTATGTGATTTTGAAGTTTGTTCAACATACTTTCCTATATCAAAAATTCAATTTTAGTAGACGCCAATCAAATTTTCAATAAACAATTAGATACTTTTATCTTACTGTATCATAAATAATTTGTTTGTAATGGTTGACCAAGGCCTGTAGGTTTTTGTTTGCTGAATCGAGCTCCTCGTACACCTTGGAAGAATTTTTGCTTTCTTCCACAGTTTGGTGAAGTCGCTCTTCAAATGCCGTCAGCAAATCTTCATGGGATTTTCCAGATACTTCAATATCAGGGAATATTCTACTAACTAAAGCTTTTGTTTCTTTTCCTTCGTCGACTATACTTTTTTGTACAAGAACCTGCGACTAAATTAATAGACTTTAATATTGAAATAAATTATGATTTAAAGATTATTTTAACGTTCATAAAACCATTTTTTTGAATGAAATATTGTATTCGCTAACTTACGTTGTTTTCCAAAGAAACAATCAAACGTTTCTCAGTTGACTTATAAGCTACCATCACTTTGTGATTCAATCTTCGTAAATCCTGAGGATTAGGACAAACATTTTGAGAAAAAAATTTGATGGTTTGATCAAAGTGTTTAGGAACAATTCAAATGATTTAAATGCAAAAGTGTTATAGATACAATTGCTCCTGAGATTAAATTTTGATGAAGAAATTGAATAAAGTGATGGAAGCATACTAGTAATTAACGGCCTAAAACTAAATTAAACTTGTTATTCAAATTTGATACATACATTATTTTTATCTTTTTGTTCATTTAGTTTCTTCTCGAGTTCCTCAGCCAGATTATGATGCTTCTCAACTTCTGCTCTTAAAGATTTGACTTGTTCGTTGATCTTATTAAATTCTTCTTCTTTTTCTGATACCGTCGCTTTCAATTTTGAAATCTGATCATCCTTCTGTACCAGTCTAACAGACATAAAAGTTAATTTATTACAACAGACTATATATCAAGTAAAGAACAATAAAATTAGAAAGGTGCGTAATTATGGCACTTACAATTTGTCGTAATCATGTTCAATGATATTTTGTTTTCCTCCAACCTCTTCAATACCGTTTTCACGGCCTTCTACAGGCGGACGTTGAGCGTTAGCAGCTTCCATTTGTGAAATAAGTCCGGCACTTTTCTCATTCTCTTTACGCAGATTTTTAATTTCTTGCTGAAGCTCAGTGACAGCCTCGAGTTCCTTGGCCAAAGTTTCATTTTGCTGCTGTAGCTCATTAATGCGAGCTTTAGCGTCTTGAAGCTCTGACTCTACCTTTTGCAGTTGCTTAGTTTTAGCTTCGGTTAACTCTTTGACAGTTTCCTCGCTTTTTTGGCGTTCAGTTGCAAGCTCATTACGAGCCTGCTCAAGTTGAAGATTTAAAGTAGAAAGTTCAGGTTGTATCCTGGATATCTGTTTTTGAAGCTCCTGCTCGTGACGGAGCATTTGTTTCATGCGCTGATCTATTTCGGTTTTCTGACGAAGCGCCTCCTCCAGCTGGTGCACGAGATCAGGCACCTGATCTGCAGACTCTTTCATCTGTTGAATTTGACCTTGCAGATGGATGCGATCATTATCAGCGATGACCAATTGTGATCGTAAAACTTCAATTTCGTGAGCGCTCGAATCGCAAGTAGCCTGAAATTCTTGTTGCAAGGTCATATTTGCGGCTTGAATTTGAGTTATCTCCTCGGATTTTCTGCTAAGCTGTTCACGCATCTGGTTGAGCTGGAACTCGTTCTGTTTGCGAAGGTTTAAAATTTCTTGTTGCATCTGGCCGTGGGAATGGCCCTGGTCTTCCTGCATTTTTACAATGATGGCAGCGTCCTCGTTGATTTTGGTTTGGAGCTGCTCAATTTGACGAGCATAGCCTTGTTTCTCGGCAGCGTGACTTTCGAGAATATGCTGCATACGAGTGTGTAGCGTCGCAGCCTCGGTCGTCTTGGCCGTCAAGGCTTCTTCCAGCTGCCGTACGGCTGCAGTATAACGAGATCGCTCGGAGTTAAGCTCCTGGCGCAACTCGACAAGTCTGCTCTGTACTCCAGCAGTGGCTTCTTGCTCGTCGCGCAGGGCCTTTTCCTTGTCGGCCAACTGGCGCTTGAGTTTCATCACGGGATCGGCTCGGCCCTCGCTCCATTCAGCTTGCTCGCCGGCAGGATTTTCCTGCTGCTTGTTGAGCAGTGACTCAATTAGAAATTGAATCTCGCTGCGGCTCAGCTCAGCTTTTTGGACGAGAGGTTGCAGTAGAGAGAAATTGACGCCGTCTTTATCCCCGCCTGGAAAAATTGCATACATCACAATTGTGAATTTTTCGTCGCCGTCCGCGGGAATGAAAATTGTGCCGAGGCAACAGGCGATCGCACCAGCTGACGGGCCCGCCGGTGGTTTTACAGCTCGTGCTTGTGGAGAGCGGCCTCGCGGCCAACGACCCCACCGCTCGCGCGCGTCTCGCTTCGCTCTCGAGAGAGCTGCTATACGGCAAGACAGGAGAAGGAGGCGAGGGAGGGGGGCGCCGCAAAGCCGCATTCCAACGCGCCGCACACGGCTGTGCTCTCCTCGCGTGCCGTGAGATTTTGATCCGGCTAATTCCTGTGCGCGCGGATGACTTTTGAGAGAGAGAGAGAGAGAAAAGAGAGGAAGAAAGACTCTTCGCGGCTAACGCGAAGGTCGCAGTAGTTTTCGGATCGATACAGCGTGTCCGCGACTTCTAGCGTCTGAATCGGAAGTTACTACGGCCGATTTTTTCCAATGATGAACGAACACGTGTCGCTTGGCAATTGGTTCGCTGTACGTCGACACGAATGAATGAGAAACAGTGTGAAAGGAGAGAGAAAAAAAAGGAGAGATAGAGAGAAAGAGAACGAAAGCGAGCGTAGCTGAGATAAATCGACGATAAAAAAAATACCGAGACTTATTTTGAGGAAGTCAAGCGAAAGAAGCGAGCTTATCATTTGTAGCAACGCCCGAAAAAACAACTTGTTGATTAGACAGTAACTTGATGGCGCTCCGTATATGAAGAGGGCATGATTTCTTTCGAGGGAAACGACAAGTCGTTAATTTCTTTAGTGATGTCTCTCGGCATGAATACGCGTCCACATATATATCCATACGGGGCCCCGTATACTACGCACACTTACCGATCTGAGCGAGAATATCTTTTTGCTTCTTGTTCTTCTTGGAGTGCTGTTGCTGTTGGTGGTTCTCCCTGTTGGTCGAGTGAACCAGCGCGGCCGTCTCCTTAGCCACGACATTCTCCTTTACCTCCTTTCCTTCCTTGTTCGCTGTTACTTCCTTCGGCTTCTCTTTCTCCTTCGTTTCCTTCACTTCCTTATCTTTGCCGGCTTGCTGCTGATGTTGGCCTGCTGCTGCTCTTGCCGCTGGCGAAGACTCCTTTTTCTCTTCCTTGGGCTCGTCTTTTTTCTTCGCGTCCTTGTCCTTAGCATTCTTCTTGATGGAACCTCTGGTCGGGGTATCTTTTGGCGATGATTTGTTTACCGCTGCCGGTGCTGTTGCTGGTGCTGTCGTTGCTGACGCTTCGGCGGGCTGGCTCGCTTGGTGCAAATTTTCCCGCTGCAAGATCGAACGGACTCGTAAAGCAGTGAAGCGTAATCTTCAAAAATTGATTGACCCCGCGAAAAAGTACATTAAATACAACTACGGCTAACTAGCGTCTAATAAGCAATTTTTCTAGATAAGACCATGCGCAAAGCTTTTGAAGTATCACTCACGCTGTGACTCCTAATGAGTTCGAGATCATCTTTCGGTTGAGTGACATCGAAATGATTGACTTCTTGCACAGGTGTTATTTGTGCGGCGTTAATATCGCTTGTTAAAATCGATTCGTCCTTATTCACAAGGATCGGTTTGATTTTTTCGGCTCTGCTCTTCTTTTTATTACCCTTGCTGTTATCCTGTTTTTTTACAATTAAAATAGACATAATAACCCAGTTGTTAGTACTATAGAATTACCAATTTTAAAGCAATATAGTGTAATTTTCAAGTCATTCAGAAAGACTCAAATGTAATGTGTTGGAATTACTTCTTTTTAATCAAGTGCAATAACATACTTTTTATAGCAAATAAAATACATGACTATTAAATTGTAATTTGGTGTATCAAAAGATTCATTTTTCACCTTTAAAACCGATTTATTCACATTTCTTCCCAAGCAATAATACCTGAAATGATTCAATTTGAATGATCAAGCTTTTTATTAAGTGACTAAATGTTCTTAGTCATTGAATTGATTCACTTTTTATAAAATGAAAAAGTAAATTTTTGTAGCAGAATTTTATCAGTTTATATGCCTACAAATATCCACATTATCTACATTAATATTTAGCAATAATCAAAAAACAATTATATCACCACATTTAAATATTTTAGTCACTTTTATCTATCATTGAATTGATTTGATATGAATAAAATTCAACTCAAACAGATGTTCAAAAGACTTACCAAGACATAATCAATTTTGAATGCAATTACTTGGTATCAAGTATTATCAATATAAAAATTACATAGCAAAAAGTTAAAAAATAAATCTTCACAAAAAATTTGTCAATTAATCATGGTTATTGTAACTGAATACAGAATTGTCAAAGTAAGATAATTATTGTTGCCATGGCTACAATTTAGCCAGAGAATACAAATATTTATATAGCTATATATTCATAAACAGTATGTAATTGTGTTGTAGGAAGTAGTGAACTGGATTTTGTTACCATGATTGTCATTTGTAACAATGTTTCTATTATAAGCATTCTAAAAATGAAAAGTCTTGCCAAGCATGAGAGCACTGACTGGAATGTAATAACACGTTTAAACACATTTTTATATTAAAGTCCTTCTGGATGACCTACATGTGCAACATCTGATATGTGAGCCAACAGACCAAGTTTCATGCATTAAATTGCCAAGAATTCAAGAAGACTTAAGGTTAAGGAAGGTTAGACTACAATTCAGTCTCAATTACCCTTCATTATTTGCTATTCGTTCGCACAAGTAAACACAGTGATATCCAAATTAATCCAAGTGTTTACTATAATAATAGCCTAATACTTGTACCATTGTTAGTTATACAGTAAATTTTTCCGCTTAATAAGCCATCATATGTTATTGGCAAAAAAAGAGTTAAAAATGCAAATTGATTTAACATACCTGTACAGTTGGTTCAGCAGGTAGTATTTGTGGATTTTCTTCAAATTGCACATGCTCAGATTTCTCCTCTTTAATTTCTTTCACTTCTTCTTTCTCTTCTTTCTTCTCCTTTGGCTTCTTGTTGGCTTTATTCTTATGCTTCTTTTCCTTTACCTTTTCTTTTCTCCCTAAAAACAAGGAATAGCAAGATAGTAAAGCACGAAGCATTCATCGAAACATGTACAATGAGCTTTGAAGAAAGGCAAAACTTACCAAATAGTAGGTCATCAGGTAGATTTCGCTGTTCCCTTATAGCATCTTCATAGGACTTTTCCTTCATCGCGAAAATGGACACAAATCCTATGACTAGGGCCGAGATAACGACAACTGCCACATAAATAAGACCCGTTTGCACGTCCATGATGAGGCGGCTGCTGTTGGCTTGTTGTTGCTGCTACTGCACGGCTGATCGACGGTGCTGGTGCGCGTCGAGCTTGGGCGTTGAGCCACTACGTCTGGTAGCTCTGACTCCGGGGCTGTGTGCTGCGGGCGCGGGCGCGCGTGCTGTTCGCAAGTAAACGCGAGTACTACTGGTAGATAGGCGCGCGTGTTCTCACACAACTGCTGCTGCTGCTGCTGCTACCGCTGCTGCCGCTACGATATGGCGATACGGTCTCTCGGTCTGACTCAGGGTTGCGGACAGATGCTAGACGGGCGACGGCGAGAGCGAGGACGACGATGATGACGATGAGCTAGGGAATCACCACATGTTGGATGCTGCGTGGCCGGCGTGGACTGACTGGTATTAGATAGTAGCAGTGCTGTTGCTGCTGCTGCTGCTTCTGCGGGGTGGTGCGACGAGAAGGAGAGTAGTGGCGCTCGGCTCATGTATGCCTGCTGTATAAATTGCGCCGCGCTGCCGCGACTCTTTCGACTATATACCTATATACGTCTCTCTCTCTCTCTCTATATTCTAAATGTGTATATGTGAGTCTGCTGCCGGCTCTCTTTCGCACTTATGGAGCGCGAGATATATATTCACATATGAGCGACGCTTTTGAGTGTGTAAATCGCTGCCCGCGGCCGCCCGGCGGTGGCTAAAGCTTGACTCTTTTGCACTGCTGTTGCTGCTGCTGTGTGTATATGTGCGTACCGTATGCGTGTATGCGTACTAGCCAAATCTACCAACTGTGCGTGAGTACGAGGCCTATATAAATGTACCTTTTATATATCGAGCGCGCAGCGGAGGTTTTATTAAAGGCGAATTTTGTCGTATCGAATGCGGGACTACTGCGGGTCTCTCGCTCGTTGCGGGCAGCAGAGAGTTCGTACTACTGCTACATGTAATGTCGTCGCTCTTTCTCTTTTTGCGATATGGCGGCCGCTCTTACATACGTACGTATATACATAGGTATATATTGCTGTATAATATGTGACGTATGCGTGCCATACGCCGCGCGCAAAGGAGGAACACAACACACGAAGAGGGCAGCGGAGCGCAGATTATATATTGGCGAGACTGCACTGCACTGTATATTACTCTGGCCTGTGTGTGCGTGTGTATGCCGTGTATGCCACTACTATATAGGATACGATGATACGGAGCGCGTGTATATCGCAAGATCACGGCTGAACTTCCACTGCAGCGAGGTTTTGCGCTCTGGCTGCAGTCTCGTCAATGTGTGTGCACCGCGGTATGTGCATTGCCTGCTGCTGCTGCTGCGCGCTTTCTCTCTCTCTCTCTCTCTTTCTCTCTCTCATTGGAGTGCAGTCGCAGACTGCATAGTATACGACGACGACTCCGACGGCGATGATGATGATGATGATGATCTGTTGCGGTTTTGGGATTTTCGAAGTATAGAGTTGAGACTGCGGAATCGGCCCGAGTCTCGCATACATACACACATTTACTCGCCGATGCTATATGGGGCTGTGTATAAGAACGACGCGTAAACACGAATAGAGAGAGAATCGTTATGTGTACGAGGGAATATACCTGTATACATAGGTAGTAAGCGCATACCTCTAACTCTCTCTCTCTCTCAAATTTTACAATACGTATACCTGGCGCGCGTATTAAAGAGCTCTCCGCTTACGTGGAGTCGACCTATGGTGCGGCGCTTGCTTCGCTTCGCGGCCGATCGCCTCCTCTCTCTCGTCTACCTATATTATATTACTATACGTGGTAATAATACGTTTTATATACTATATATATATTGTGTAAATCCCCGTGGATGGGACTTTTTTGCGCGTATACGTATCTGTGTGTACTGCGTGAATGTGTGTGTCTGTGTGCGGAGCGAGTGAAATAACCACGCCTTTCGCACGTCACGCGCGCGACTCCGCATTGGTCCGACTCCGATTTGTCCGTATGTGTATAGGTACACACGGGGTACTATGCATGGCTCAGTGCCACGTATGCATCCGCCGATTTTGCTCGCAGCTATACTTTTAACTATAGCGCGTATACACAACACGCACACAGATAGTGTACCTGTGTATATATGTGTTCGCACGTATATAGCAGCGAGCTACACGTGAAAGTGGCAAACCTCGGCAGCGAGAGAGCTCGTGGATTGTTCGCTGCTATCCTCCTATATGTATATATATGCGGAGTCTTGTAATATGTGCGTGGGTGAGAGACCGCGAGTATATAGCTCTCGAGTGTACCGACGTATCTATACGTTACACGGGGCGCGCGTTATTGCGGTGCAGATTCGATGATGCGGAATTTGCGCGCTGAATGTATACATCGTTCTTGTGCGAGCTTACAGCGATTCCTACACCACCGACCATCGACTCTGAGAAATTTGCCATGAATGGCAAAATACGCACGAGCTTCGTGTGTATAACGAGAATTTGTCGTTACACATTTTCTTTGTTTATTCGAACGATGGTCGAACGCTGGTCCGGAGTTATTGCGTCGAACAAAGCGGCCTATAACATCAGCTGCTACGGGGTACAAGTTTAAATATAAGCATAAACACACTCGCGGTATTGTATCATCATCGAACGTACATCAACTCCGATTGATATCCCCGAGAGAGCTTTGAACTGTAATAACTGTAATACGTAATCGAATCTGTACACGAAATCGAGAAATTTGGCTCGACGCGCGGATAGCGACGTGCGACACGGCGCGTAGACTCGTTATACGATTTTTTCGGTACAAAGGTTCGACTCGATGTTCTTTGTCGGGCGGGGGGAACGATCATCGAAGCTTTTATCGTAAATATCAGCGTTCGAGGCGTCAGATACGATACGCTTAACCGAACAAAGATCGAGATACTTCAAAGAGCCAAAAGTCGATTAACGACCTTTCGGAGCTCCGGAGACCCCGGGCCATCCGCGCGCGCCTATCGCAAGTCTGAAGTCTGATTATATACATGTGTGCGCGAGTCACTGATAGCGCTTACTAAGCAAGTTTTAATAGGAGTATTTATGCAATCGTCGAAAACATCTGTTGCTCGTTTAGCCCCTTTGTATAATCAGCCCAAGTGCGAGAGAACACTCGAGTAATGTGCTGTCTTGTTCTTGAGGTCGCGCAGCCACGCCGCAACACGCGCGCGTGCCTAAATTCACGAAATTCCATTTCCGCGGGCTAGCGAGACAAGAAAGAAAGAAATTTCAAAAAGTCTCGAGACTCGATTACATAAATCCAACTCATGGTATATGACGATCGCTTTATTACGTCGTATTCATGTATTCGATTAACATATACACACACAAGTTACGAATTTTAACGAGTCGCAGACACAATGCGCGGATATTTTTTTATAATTATAACATAGCTAGATAGCGGCGAGCTTTAGAAAATGGTCTTGAGCTCTTTGATGAGCACCTCGTTGTACTGCGAGGCCAGCTTGAAGAGCTTTTCCAGAAGCTGCTCGTCGCTCGTCGCCGTCCCCGTCTCGTCCAAGCTGCTGCTCTTGTCGTTGCCGTTGTTGTAAGCTGCGCCGGCGATGCGCAGCTTGTCCTCCAAGATGCTGATCGGACGGTAGACGTCGTTCATCTCGATCTTCTCCTTGAGCAGATCGTAGTCGAGTCGAGCCTCGTCGAGATCGGCGCCGCTCCTGTGATCGCCTGAGAGGCCCATGAGTTGCTGCTCGTCCAGGGCGTCCTCCTCCGTCATCTCGCCGTAGATCTCGGAGTCGCCGCTCGAGTCGAAGGTTCGATTGTTCGGGCCGGTGAGCAGACTCGGCCTCTTGCGCTCGACAGCGGCCATCTCTTGTGTGATCTTGGCCTCGAGCTCGGCCAGTCTAGCCGAAAGCGCCGCGAGTTTCGCGTTGTCCTGCCTCAACTCGTCGATCGTCTTGTCCTGGCTGTTCTCCGAGTTCATGTCCATGAGCGTCTGCAGCAGCTCGAGCTCGTCGTTGCTCAGCAAGTTGCTGTCGAAGTTGGCGTTGACGCTGCTCGTCGCGCGCTCGAGCCGCTCCACGATCTCGTCCTCCAGCTGGCCGAGTCTCTGCAGCTCCTCGGCGCGGCTCTTCTGCAGCTTCGAGCTGTAGACGCGATCGCCGCCACTGGCCGAGCGGCCCTCGTTGTCGTGAAACTTGAAATTGCCCTCGGCCTGGGCCTCCTCGATGCACTGCTCCAGCTGCTCCAGTTCCTCCTGCGCCTCGGCCGTCCTCTTTTCCAGCTCGGCGATCTGCTTGCGAGTCGCCGCCAGGTCCAGTTTGTCCTTGCCGTCGTCCTCGAAGATCTTCTGATAGAGTCGGCAGGCCTCCAGTTTCATCTGCAACGAGGGGAAAAGTCAGAGCGAAGGCACGTGCAACAACGATAACATGCGGAAAATCCAAAACGTCTTACAGGAGACAGCGGGATGTGACTGGGCAGTTTGGATCGTTTGCGCGTGTCCGCGTCCATGGACTCGACGATCTTCTTGGCGAGCTTGCGATTGGCGTTGAGATTCCACTGGATCTTGTTGTAAGCGCTGTCGAGCCTCTGGCGCTTCTGGAACAGTTGGATGATGTCGAGCTCCTGCGAGGACGCGCCACCACCCTCGTGGCGAGCCGAGTCATAGCTGCCGTTGTTGCCGGCCGGATTCTCGGAGTAGAGGTCGGCCTGGGCATTTTCGCGATACCAGCCGCTGTTCATTTTGTCCAGCACCGCGTTGTACTCGTCCAGCTGGGCTTGCAGCTCTTGAAGTCGCGTGGCCAGCAGACCTCGCGTACTCTGGCCCTGACTAGTCGACGCACCGCCGCCACTCGCCGCCTCCATGTCCCGTCGAATCGAGGCCATCTGCTGCTCGAGCTCGCGGATCTTGCTCTGCAGCAGCTGCTCGTAGTACTTTTTGTCTTGCATTTGTCTATTGCAACAATTTACATGTGTTGATTTCGAGAACTGCATCGAGTACATTTAATGCAGGACATATAAGAGAGACTCACCGAGCCAATCGAGGAACGCCCCGGGACGAGGCCGAGCGGCGAACGCCGGCCAGGCCCTGCTGCGTGACGGGCCGATCGAGCATCGAGTGCAGCTGGTGGCGCGACAGGCTCGCGGCGCTGATCGGCAGATTGTTCATCATGGCCGTCGAGGTGCGCGCGGCGGAGGGCGGCCTCGACAGGCCGCCAGCAGTCATCCTGCCGCTGCTGGTCGGTGGCCGCTGCATGCCGCCGGTGGTGCCGTTGCTGCTGCTGGCGCCGCTGCTGCTCATGCTCGAGACGTCGTGCGCGAGCGACTTGATGCCTCGCCTCGAGCTCGGACGATCGGCCCCACTACTGGACACCGTCGTCTTGGCCGTGCCCGGACGCGGTGGCGGCTGATCCAGCTCGGACTGCTGATGCTCGGCGCCGCCGCGACGCCAGCGAGTCTGGGGCCGACTCATGCTCGAGCGGCTCGCGATGCTCGACCTGTCGATCGAGTCCATCATGCACTTCCTCAGGCATGACAGCGACTGATCCGCGGCATTGTTGTGCTCCGAACGAGCCCGGCGACCGACGCTGACGACGGCCCGTCTAGTGACCACCGCCAGCTGCTGCTGCCGCTGCTGCGCCGTCGCCATGGAAAAGTGTACCTTTGCCGATTCAAAACACTGCACGTGTCGATCTACCCTTAATACGGTTCAAGGCTGCGACACGAGCCGCACACGTGCCGAGAGGTTTGAAATAAATTCGATCGTTATTCAGAGCGCTGCAAGACCAAAGGTGCGATTTTTGCATTGATATATCCTCGGATGTGTACAAACTACCAATGATCTGTACAACCAAATGTTCTCTAAACATAAAAAAGTTGAATATTACTTTGCGTAGGAAAATATAACTGAGCTTCTTTAAGTTCACAATTAGAAAGTAAACTTTGTTTATATTTCCCTCTGTTTGTAAACATGACTGACGCGTCACACAAACCGCACACGCGCAAGAAAGAGACAGACTACAACTTTCTCTCACTAATCCGTCTTCAGTCTGTCTATGTATGTCCCAGTGAGCGCCAAGCCAACAACAGAGGCGAAAATACACGCGTCCGCTATTGAAAACCTAACCTGTGCGTCTTAGTAAACAGTGAGCCGGTGTCATTCCTTTCAGTTATGTGTTTTTGACGTGAAAAATCGTGAATAAGTTATTTCAATTATGGCAAATCGAACTGTCAAAGATGCCAAGTCCATTCGTGGCACGAATCCACAGTACCTCGTGGAAAAAATTATTAGGTCCCGTATCTATGATTGCAAATACTGGAAGGAGGAGTGCTTTGCACTCACGGCGGAACTTCTGGTTGACAAAGCTATGGAGTTGAGGTAAAGATTGTCAATAAGTTGTTACAATTTTACAATTATTCACATAAGGAGACGTAGAAGCCAGCCAAAATTTCCAAATTTCAATTCAGTTTTCTGAAACTTCTACTGAATATTTTGCCAAAAGGCTCTATGACGAACTTCATTTTGATGTTCTTAATGTCGCCATAGATCCTTTTGGCAAAATATTCAATAGAAGTTTTAGAAAACTGGATTGAAATTTTGTTATTTTAGCTGGCTTCTATATCTCCTTAAATTTAAACTCAATTTTAATTAACTATTTTCCTCCTTTTTTATTCAATAGGTACATAGGTGGGGTTTTTGGTGGTAATGTAAAACCAACACCATTTCTGTGTCTTGTGCTAAAAATGCTTCAAATCCAGCCCGAAAAAGACATTATAGTAGAGTTCATTAAAAATGAAGAGTTTAAATACGTCAGAGCCCTTGGAGCATACTACATGCGTCTGACTGGCACAGCCATCGACGTTTATAGGTACTTAGAGCCTCTTTTAGCTGACTATAGAAAATTAAGAATGCAGAATCGACAAGGAGAATACAAACTTCTGACAATGGATGAGTTCATCGATAACTTATTGAGAGAGGAGAGATTGTGTGACGTCATTTTGCCAAGAATTCAAAAAAGACACGTTTTGGAAGAGAATAATGAACTCGGTAAATATTTTGAAAATAGTTACAAATTTTATGATTTTTTATGTTAACTCTTTATTGTATTATAATAATCAATGTGATAATAATTGATATTTTTTCAGAGCCAAAAATATCTGTACTGGATGACGATGTTGATGAAAATCTTGACAGTTCTGAAGAAGAGGAAGCAGCAATCAACAATAATAAAAGGAGATTAGATATTCTTTCATCGGACAGAGATCGGGACAGAGAACGTGGCAGAGACAGAAGGGTATCTGATCGTAAAGATAGAAGATCTAAGTCAAGAAGTAGATCGAGATCACGTGACCGAAGGGACAGAAAGAGAGAAAAAGATAGACGTGATCGACGAGACCGCGAGCGAGACCGTGACAGAGAAAGGGATAGAGATAGAGAAAACAGAGACAGAGACAGGGACAGGGACAGAGATAGAAACAGGGACAGAGAACGAGAAAAAGACAGGGAAAGGAGAAGAGAGAAGGACAGACGTGATCGTCGAGATCGCGATAGAGATAGGGATTAAATGTAATTAATATACATTTAATAGAGTAATTTTATAATGTAAATGTTTGTAAACTTAGAGATAAAAATAACATTAAGTAAAAAATAAATAATTTTTGGAGTGAATCGAAGATTTAAAAGTCTTAATTTTTCCTCTCAAATATCCTTGTCCTGCAAGGTTTCGCAAGTAAACATGTATATTCTAACGTTGGCATGGTAAACACCAATTGATCAAACAGTATCATCCACTCTGCAGTTGCAGTTTGCTACTATCAATCGACATGACGATATGTCTTGGTCCTCTAGACTCAGGAAAAACTCTTCTAATGAAAAGACTCGCGGACGAGGAAATAGATGAGGCTACTGTGACCGAAAAGACTTTGAATGTTGAAACTTACCGCGTTTTGAGTCCTAACTGCAAGTTTGATATTTTAATCCGAGAATGTGGAGGCACTATGGCACCTAGGTGGAAGGAATATCTACTTAATGTAAATTTAACTTTTACAACTCTTTTTATATTAAAAATTGAAAATTAACACTCATTTTCATCAAAATAGGTCCAAAAGATAATGTTCGTTATTGACGCAAGCAACTTGTGCCAAATATCCGCTGCTGGTGTACTACTCTATACCTTATTAACCGATCCGAGCTTGCAAAAAGTAAGATTTGCTCTTGTACTGTCCAAAATGGATTGGTCTTACCGTCAAATGAGAAACGAAGCTTTGCTTATGCTTCAATTTACTCGACTTAAAAAGGAAGTTAAACAAGAGATTCAAGTTTTAGAAGTCAGTGCTTTAACTGGGGATGGTGTGGATAAGTTGAAGGAGTGGATATTTGATCCAGTAACTTTAGAAAATGCTAGCAAACACAATTAAAATATCAGTATTATATATTGAAAATCTATATTGGTTTATGATGATATCATATCATTATACAATCATTGTATTAAATACATCAGCAAAATATTAAAATGTTTGTTCATTTATGGAAACAAATGTCATTTCTCCATAAAAGGAGAGATTTAGTATTATGTATAAATTAAATTACTTTAAACACACCAATTGTGGTAATTTTTGACGAAAGGTTTGCTTACCCTTTTTGAATTCTGATTTTTAACAATTTTTAAATTCATAAGTACAGCATGTCTGTACCATCGGCTAGCACATATTTACAACCATCACATGAGCTGTCTATATAGTTTTTATATAGTTGCACACAATTACTCTTACAGCAATTGAAAAATTCTCAGTTAGGCACGACATCATAATTCTTCATTCATGTTTATTTAGTGTATCCTCGTTAAATCTTCGACGATTTTAACAATGTCGTCTACAGTTGCGTCTTTTTTCATACCACCACCCTCGTCGATCTACAAAATACAAAAATAGTAAATAATTTTTTAAAGCGCGCTTAATTTATTTGTTCATTCAATTAAAATACTTACGGTTAGACCTTGGATAACTTCTGTCATTTTTTCATGATTCAAATCCAAAAAGCTTTCAATTAAATCGCCGTCGACAAATCCTTCGCACGCTTCAATTTTTAGGTCTGTATTGAAACTTCTCCAAAAGTGATGTTCGATTTTTCCTACACTTTTGATGACGTTTGTCAATCTGTCTTCAAGACTTTTAAGGAAATCATAAAATGAAGTCGGTATTTGCGTAACTAAACCAATGGCTCCACTAACAGTTCCGAAGAGAACGCAACCCGAGGTTGGAGTACTGGATTCTCCTAAATGCTGCATAACCAACGATCCATGTCTGAATACATTTACCATGTCACCTAAATGGAATTGACCAATTTCTTGCATTTGTTGTCGTTCTTCTTCTGATGTAGCCGCACTATTAAACAAATAAACGAATATGTATTATGTAGCAGAGGTATTAAATTATCAATTTTTACAAATTAAGTTATTATATACCTGTCTTTTTGACACACAAATAGATTGAAACAGTTTTCGGCACCCAAGAAAGTATCGTCGTCCAAAATTTCGATAGCCGTCATCCAATTAGGATTGTAGTCCCTTGCCATTTCTTCGAAACTTCCCTCCATTGTTTTGTATTGTAACAATGTTACAGAGCGCATAAGATCTCCGATGAGAACAAAATCACCTTTTGTTTTCAAATATAAAGCTATAATGTTGTTGAAGTGGCTGCATTCCAATCTAAGTTCTTTCTCAGCAGTCCATTCAAACAATCTAACTGTACTGTTGATACTTGCTAAAAGCTTTCCATTGAATTCCACAAGCGAATAACATGAACCTTTTATTTCTTTCTCAGCCACCTAAAAGAGAGAATATCTAAGTTAAAAATCATTCAAATGTAAATTTTTACTTCAAAATATTAGTCCTTTACTTGATTGAGTTTTCCATCTTGCCATTGGAATATTAAAATTCGACCCATTTTTGGCTCGGACTCATCAGGATTTATCAATGCTGTACCAACAACGAAGTATGGAGTTGCATCATCTCCCAACTTCGTTGAAATCAAAGACATGGCATATTCCGTTGGCATTAAAGTATGGGCATGAAGAACTTCAAAAGTATGTTGATCGATGATCAACAAATTATGAACTTCGACTTCCTGCCCGCAATCGGCGGCAGTATTGGCTGGCTTATTGTGAGAGTTATTCTGAGTACTGTTGGAAATTGATTGTACCGTCGTTGAAGCTGATTGACGAACTGTATTTATACCATTTTGTTCCATAACATCAATGCGCATAGTGATAACACCAAAAGTTTGAGTGCTCTCTTGATAAGCGATTCTTCGAGGTGATTCTCCCAGTGGCACATTTCTAATATGCAATTTTTGTATTTCGTCGATTGTGCCAATGGAAACTAATAAAAAGATATTGTTATTTTACATTACAAATTATAGAAATTTAAAATTATTTTCAATATTTTATCATTTACCTGCAAGATTTGTGGCAAGAGCCAAACTGTCAGGATATGATTCTGCGTTAAGTGAGCACATATGGTTAACTTCCTTCATATTTACATTGCTGAACACAAGTTTATGGTTTGAACTATATATGACTGTTGGCCTATCAGAGCAGGCAAATACATTAGTTGTTGAAAGCGATCTAAATGTTTTTAAAACTGTGGGTTGAGTGCCAAGAGTAACTTTTTTCTTGTCCATGAGTAATCCGTTTTTCTGATTCAATACGAAATAGTACATGCTACCATCACCCAAAGCGCACAAAAGATATGTACTTCCCTCGAAATTCGTCATCAGTATTGATCTGGGAATAATTTCTCCCCCAAGTAATTCTTTATTTATTTCTTCCAAATTTGGCAAAGTTAATACACGAACGGATATGTCCGTCCATAAACCAACTGCTACAAGTTTGGCATCGTTTGTACCATCTAATGGGGTAATATCAAGACATGCGACTTCATGTTGGAGTTCAGTTGAAGCCTTAGAAACTATTTGATTATCAGATATTTCCATAAAATATAAATCTTTTCCAGTAGCACACAGCAATTGTGCACCATTACAGGCTACAACACTTATGCTTCTTTTGTTTTCTGGTGACCACTCAGATACAACACTTTTTAATTCAGTGGAAATAAGTCTAGCTGATGTTGGTGTTACTTGTAGTATCAAGGTATTGGTGACATTACCTGTGTAGAAAGTTTGCTCATCAGCAACAAAGCCTGATATTTCAGTTTCTTCTAGTTCTTCTCCATTCAGCATTAATATTCTTGTCTGTCCAACAAATGATAGTACTATGGTATTGTCATAGGTATCATTAGCAACTTTTAGAGCCCACATTCCTTTTATGCCTGGCAATTCAATTAAAGCATGTTCATGAATTCCAATTCCATTTCTTATGACTCTTAAAGATCCTTCTTTGAAAGCACCTGAGCAAGTAACAATTTGTCCTTGCCCTTGTCTTTCAAGATCTACAACCGCCATATCCACAATCGGAGCTAAATTTGTAAATGACTCCATAACAACACAGTAAGAACCGGTATCATCTGCTTTAGTGATCAGTTTCACTAGTTGTGAATCACCCAATCTACTACCAATAAAAATAACACCATTGTCCAAGTAAGTAATACATTCTGGAATACTAACTTCACCAAGGAATTCAACTTTCAGATCTTTTACATAAGGGGTGCCATCTGATCTTTTATCATGCTCTAAGAATAACATAAATAAACGTCCAGCCATATCACCCAATAAGTAACGTTGCCCTTGATTGTCTACTTTGGCATAGCATGTGATGGTACTTTGCTTAATAATTGGTGGAATGACAGAAACAAAAATGTTACCATCATGATACAAAATACTTTCTTGTCCAATAATAATTGCTCCTCCAATTGGTGAAGGTACTGGAATAACCATCATGGCCTCACGTTCAACATTATCTTGTCTCCATGGAATTTTTACAAACTCTTTGTCTCTCACTGATATTTCATGTGTTTTTACATGTCTTCCATTTATGTCTTGATGAATTAATATTAAAGTTGGATTTGCGCAACCATGAAGGAAGTTGACATCTTGTACCTGTATAAGACAAATAAATATAACAATTTATAACTAATATGTTTAGAAAATAATACATAGTATAAAAAATACACATTACATTTTGTTCATCCATTCGAATGGAAGAGGCCTTGAGTTCTGGATTATCTTTGTCAAGTGGTATAATTTTAAAAAGACCATCATACAGCCTCAAACCAATAACTCTTGCTTTTGGATCAATAACTGCTTTAATGCCTGTTTCTGATGCTTTACCAATTCTGTCAGCAACATTTCCATGTGCTTTAGTTATAATTTCAATGTTTTCTCCCTCGCCAGTACATTCCAATATCATGGCATTGTACCTTGTTGTCAACAAGAAAAGCAAGTCTTTTTTCTCATGCTATAATAAAAAATGGCATTATTATCACTGAGCTAAGATTTAAATTTAGCAGAAAAAATGAATAATACGCACTTGTGGTCTGAAAAATTTAATAACTGCAATTTTTCCATAAATGCCGACTTCTTTGATAGCTCTCAGACCCTCCGGTGTTACGAGATAAATCTCGAGACGCATATTTTTGGCCAATATAAGATTGAGATCGGTAGGTGACGTGAAATTACCTTAAGTACACGAAAAATAAAAAATCATGAAACAACATAATTTTTTGCCTGTGTAATCAATGACAACAAATTGATAAGGTTATAGCTTACCGGTTACACAGGCGGTCACAGCGGTGGGTTTGTGAGCCGTTACAACGTAGTGATGTGCCATGTTTGTAAAATATATTCTATCAACACAAACTAGTTAAAAGAAAAAGCTATCAACTTTAATCTTCAAATTTTCATTTGACCGATCGCTGTGAGATACGAAAATTCTCGATTGTTTGTTATGCAAAGAACTCGTGTTCGAGGTTGGCGTTCTCTGTAAGCTGCTCAGCTCAGCACGGTTTGCCGCCGACACTGATAGACGAAGACCGACGGTAGTGTCAATGGTGGGAGAGTTCGCGAACACAGAAGTTATAGAAGCCTAAGAAGTAAGAAGAGCTGCGAATCGCGATAATCGTCAGACATTTGAAGCTCGGCGCCAAAATACGAAGTAATTACACAATTTTTGTTTCAATTGCGGTTTATTAGGTACACATCTATAAATTTCCTTGCTGTAGCGTAAAGGAGTAAAAATAAAGAGAAAAAATTATTCGGTGATTATTTTTTATCGGAAGCATAAACATTTTTTACGATTAATGGATTCATTTAAAACAAAAAAAATTTTATAAAATAAACCTAATTCTCAATCATAATTGTCAGAAAAATATGAAAATAAATAAGAAAAGCAAAAGTTTTTAGAGGGCTGAATAATGAATGAAATCATCTTTCATTCGGTAACTGGCATCAACGTGCGATGCAGTGCGAATCGCTGCCTTGACCTTGCAAATATTCGCATCTTTGCGACTCAGCCGAATGTGTCGCAATATGCGAAAAGCTATGTATAATCGAGGTTATGTTGGTGCGAATATTTCAGAGGCGAAGCAGAAAACGTCCATCAAACACTAGCACACGACATGTGACGTGCAAAATTTGATTTCGGACTTGAAAATTATGAAAATTGGTGTGAACAAGACACCATTGTTTACGTGCATATTTTTCTAAATTTTATCCTCGTTTATTGTGTAAATAAATTGTGATCATGGAGGAAGACGAAGGTGTCAATATTCTCGAAAGCTTTTCCGATTTTATGGAACGGGATACCAGAGGAGAGGAGGTATTTAAATAGTGTTTTTGTTTATTATCACTGTTTCAAGCTTACTTTTGATTGATTAAAATTTTAAAAATTTCCTTATTATTTAGATACTTACCTATGGAATCGCAGGTATTGCTTTGCTCACAGCGATGTATAAAATAAGACCTGTAAGTAATTTGATCTTACATAATTCTATATTAAATACAATACTATGAGCTTAACCAAAATATTGTCTTTTTTCAGTTTGCTAAATTTAAGAAACCATCCGATGTGCCTAAACATTTTTTTACTAAGAAAGTACAACTCGAAGGAACTGTCAAAAACATTGAGCCTTCCATGGAGCCTTATTTGTTGGTTGATCATAAACCTTTAGTTCCTTTACCAAGATTAGGATCACCCAAATATTTGCCAGTTAAAATAGCTGGAGTTAATGTTCAAGGAAATGGTAAATATATTTAATTCAAATAATTTTTTATTTCAAATAAAAATATTATTGTTATACATTAATGTTTTGTTTTTGCAGGTCTGAGTTGGTTACAAGCTGTTGTTAAAGATAAGAAAATTAAATTTATACCAGTTAAAAAAGACAATCAGTTTTTAACTTGCATAGTAATTGTTCCACAAAATAATAAGGTAAAATATACCAGAATTTTCCATTTTGAATCAAAGTTTACAAAAATTTGAAATTAATTTGATTATAATTTTGTTTCCTTAGGAACCAATTTCTGTTGGTAAAGAATTGTTAAGGGTAGGATTTGGAACTGTTGAAGATTTAAAAGGTGTCACACCAAAAGATCATGATATACTAAACTACTTGAAAACTCTTAAATTAGCACAAAAATGGGCAGAAAAACAAAGAAATGGTATTTGGTTCTACAAATACCCTCCTACTTTTTATTGGAAATTAAAGATCAACATAGATAATAAGTTAAAATCTTTAATTCCAGTCTCAGTGGCAAATTACTTTAATTTATAAGTATTTATAGATTGTTATTAGATTTATTCTTTTGACTATAGTAAAAAAAATGTAATAATGTGATGAATATCAATGAACTCTAAAGTTGATTTTTAAAATGATTAAGAAATGAAGTTATTCAATTATATATCCACGATGAAAGTATACTATATATATTTTTATAAAATTTAAAGATAATAGTTTATACTGTGCTTATTTTAGTATGCAAATAATAATGTGTTTATCAATTTAATACACTTTTTTCAATTATTTATAAACCAATTTTATTAATTCATATTGAATTTTACAATTTGATGAGAGTAATTAACTAACAATGTTTTAGATGAAATTTTTCTATCTTTATCTTCGATTTTTCAATCAATAAAGCACCACAACAACAATAGTTAATTTTTAATTTTCTTGGTAATTTATTTGACAGCTTTTGACATTAACTTATGTTATTATGTTCTAAAAATCTACAGTATACTTAATTATGTATTTTTTAGTTATGAAAAGTGCAAGTCTCTTTTGAGTTGGTCTTTTAAAAAATTTTTTAAATGGATGTGTACTTTGGCAACAGTTCTGATATTTTTTAGTTAACAATATAATTTCGAAATAATTACCTATAAATATGATAATCTAATTTTTTCTAAAATTCAAGAAACACAACTTTCTTTGAGTGAAAAAATGTTTTTCAGTGTAGATTTGATAAAAGACAGATTATAATACATATCAAACTCATTTTTCATTCTTACAGTTTTGTAAAAATTTAAAAGATAATATGAACTATACCTTTCAGCACTATGTATTCTATACGCACTTTATTTCTTTCTTGCATAAACACTGTGCACTAAAAATGTACAAATTTTTGATACATGAACTAATAACTGTTGTCGTTTTTTAGTATTTATAATATATATCAGAGTCCTAAAATTATCTGACAAGTCTTCTCATAATAGAATTAATCATATAAATATCAACTCTCTACAATTTTTTACACGATCAAGTTTAACAATTAGCAGTTAATCAATCATAATCAATGGACACATTTCTACAAAAATTAAGTCGTCAAGTTAGTCATTGTCAACTGCACTTTTGCTAGCAGATGTCTTTAACGATTTTATTTGGTTTTTAGAAGCTTTCAATCACTTTCTCAAACTTGCACGTAATAATTTTGTCTTAATTTAACGGATTTTGAAATTAAAAAGCTTGAAAAGCCTATCACCGATAAAAGTTTATAAAATTAAACATTTTAAAAGCATAACAATTTTACAAAGAATTTTCATGAAAACTTTGATATAAAGATAAGAACGAAATTCATCATTTAAAGAAAAATGTTGAGCGACCGCCCAGCTCAGTAATCTTCGATTAACACTTTTCCTCAATCAATTCCATCGTTACTTTCGTCAAACTTTTCATTGAAAATTCCCGTTTTGGTAGATCTTAAAATAATCATAAAAATGCATTACTGCGACCTAATTGTTTAGGTGTCATTTTGTCTGTCTTCTCTACTCTCAAATCAATGTAAATACGCTAATTTCGTTAAATATCTAATTTTAAATTCTTCTTTAAAACATAGACTCAAATTGAAAATGAAAATACGTGTGTTTCAAGCGAAGTGACTATTTTGTCACGTCATCCATTCGTTCTGTCACTTTTCCTTATCGACTCTAATATCTTTGATAATTCTTTTTTTACATTATATTCATACGATCGTCTAATACAGGTATGGATTTATGTTTCTTACAGAATAAAAAATGATTTACAGAGGGAGTTTCACATCTCCATTCGAGTTTCCGAACCTCTCTACATAGAATTATTTGCAATCTCTGGTTGAAAATTATTGCCCCATTTATAGTTGAAAAACGAGAGAGAACATTGTGAAAATTTTCTAAATTTTTCCTTTATACAATCCACGTAATCAGTCTTGCGAGAATATGTTTACAGTTTTTAATACATTACAATTATATAGTACACACACACATTTGAAAAAAAAGAATCCTCTCAAAAATTTGCTACGGTTGCTTTCGATTGTCTTACATATTATATAATAATCTCGGAAAAAAGTGTTGAAACAATCGCAACACAGTTATTACAATATACATTCATATCAACCAGTAATGCAAATTAAAAAATTACGCAATCGATACTCAGTATCGCATAATAAAAACGCATCGTGTATTACAATTACTCTATCATAAGTAAAAATTCACATCGCGCGCTCGAGCGAAAATTCGATTGGTCTTTTTTTCTTCGCTTCGTTGCATCGTCGTCGTCGTCGTCATCGCGTGCGCCGCAACGGAAGCGAGAAAAAAAATATTCTTAAACGCGTCTCCGTGCACCACCGTTCAGAACTGCGACTCCTGCACGACGATTTCGACGTCGGCCTCGTCTTCGTCCTCGTCCTCGTCTTCGTCGTCGTGGCCGTTGTCATCGTCGTCGTCGTCGTAGTCGTCGCCTTCGTCATTGGCAAAGGTAACGCGTTTATTCGCCCGCGCGATGCTGCCCTCGGGGGGCGACCACTAATGCTATACCGTGATCTCTTGGATTTGCACGCGTTTCTTAACGCCACTGCTCAGTGTGCCCGAGGCCACAGAGGTGGCTGCGGACGAACCACCACCTGCACCACCACCACCACCTCCAGCCTGTTGTTGCAGCGAGCAACTCAGCGAGCTGGAGGTCCTTTGCGGCGGCCTCGGCGGATGCTGCTCCTTGGGGCCGCGCGGCAACGTCGCCAGGCGACTGGCCTGCATCGGGTGCGGATCCTGCATGTGATCCTGCAAAGTAAACAAGACACATTGTGTTGCGGAGCTTTTTAAATAATACAACAACGTGTTTCGCGATTTAATCCGACCGCGAGTGGATTATTTTATAAGGCCGGTGCTACTTTTAAGGGGAAATCAAATTTTACAGTCGGCGAGCTGTTCTGCACCATAGGTAGTAGTAGCATATATAGTATGAAACTGCCCGCACTAAACTGCAGGCCCGTGATTTCGCTCTCCGTTTTTATTTTTACGATCGCGTTACGGTCTTTTAAATGCTTCAACAGTCCAACATAAAAGGGGAGTCGTCGGCTATTCGATTCTCGCGCAAGCGGTATAAAGCGATACGCCGACGAGCAATAAATTCTATTTTATGCTTTGCTGCATCGGAGTTATTTAATTATTGACGAACGTTCGTCGAAGCATGCAGTACACATAGTACACGTATAGAGTAAATGAAGAAAAAAAAATTCGAAGAGCCTACCTGAATCGACGACGGACTCTTGGGCAGCGTCGTGTAACACGGCGGCAGGTCCGTCGTCACGGACAGCCGATGACGCGGATCCTTGGGCGATCGATGATCGTTCATCATGGGCATGGCGAGGCTCTGCATGTCCTGGCCGTTGGAATTGGTCGGGTTGGCGGTGGCGGCGGCCTTGCACGCGGCCAGAGCTCGCTTCTTGTCCCGGTCGCGCTGGTAATAGATGCCGGCGAATATGAGCATGTTGAGCACGAGGAGGATGCAGCCCACGCCGACGGTGATGGCCAGGGCAGTGGTCGTGCTGTAGTAGTGCTTGGAGGCGAGCCGCTGCAGCAGCTCGGCGCCGTCCTTGCCCTCCTCGAGGAGTCGCGGGCTGCTGCTGCTGCTATCCTCCGACGGGGCGGCGGCCAGCAGCAGCTCGCCGTTCTCGCCCGTGGTGGCGCACGAGGTGCTCGAGGTCTGCGAGCTCTGCGACTGGCCGTAACGAGTCGACGAGGCGTAGGCCGCGCCGGGCAGCGCCAGCGGAGTGTACCATTCGTCGCGCACCGGCCCCGAGTACAGCAGATCGCCCTTCTCGCGGAAGTGGTGGTGGCGCATCGACACGTCGTCGCCCGGTTGATGCAGCTGCGGTATGAGATTCAGCCACACGGCCATCTTGTGACCGCGGTAGTGATTTTTCATCTTTGGTTTCAGAGCTGTATACGAATTCGCAACGATGCATTAATCACAATGCGACGATCTATGCGACGGTAAATAAAGAAAAGCGTATTCGTACCGATCATGAGGTACTGCTGCGTGTTGGTCTCGTACTTGTCCCAAGTGAGGCCTCGATAGCGCGTCTTCTCCTTGACGGTGCCGTAGTCGACCGACTCGATGGCGTGCGGCTCGTTGGGATTGCCCGTCTTGGCGAAGTTCGTGAAGAAGGTGAGCACCGCCTCGGCCACCACCTGGTCGGCGCGCGAGAAGTTCTGCGGGAAGAAGCGACCGCCCAGAGTCAGCGGCAGGCCGAGTATGTAGGGCAGCGACTCGCCCCGTACACTGCCCAATCGCTGCAATTGGGCACAAAAGAGAACATTATATTTTACACAATATTCGATGTACCTATATAAATCGAGCGCGAAAAGGTATACGTGCGAGGATAATTTGCCTTTGGGGGCTGAAATTGAATAATACGCCGGGCGCGGTTGCGCCTGGCGTATAGTAGTAAGCGAGAAAGAGGAGAAGAGGTTGTAAAGCATAGCTCTAATTATACCAGACACTTTTCCATCGCTTAGTCAAAGCTTAGAGCCGAGAGGAGGGCACGAAATACGCGCGCGCACACACTTTGAGTGTTATAAGGTACGTACTGTACCGCACGTACGTTTCGCGCAGCAGCAGTAATTACGAACTAACGACTTTTCTTTCGAAGAAATTTCACACATACGAGTGCGCGACGTGCGTTCACGTATATGTGCGCAGATACACATATACGTGCGCGGGGAGAAGAGCATCTAAGAGTACAAAGAGAGAATAGGAAATTCGCGTTTCGGGTGTGGAGCTCGTGTGCGGCTATAATAGCGACGTGTAGTACACCGTATGAGTGTAATTCTAATGCGACCCACGAGTACACATACACACATCGAGGCAGGGAAAAAAAGCACCTCGCTCGACTTTGGCTTTTAATTTTAATTAAACTTGGCAATTTTTCCACTAATTCGAGCGAGAGTGGGAGAGAGAAAGGAAGGGAGTCGACTCCGGGGCCGAGGCGAAATAAAAAAAGTTCGGACCTCAATAGATTCAAAAGCCGGAACACGGCGTGGGGGGGCCTCGTCGTCGTCGTAGTCGCCGTAGCACCGAGAGCGAGTGTCGAGTGAAAGAAGCTTTAGATTTTGACGACGAGTAATTTCGTAAACGCGCAGCAGCAGCGAGAGAAAACGAAACTTTGATGCGAGCCGGGGGCTCATATTGAAACTGCAGCGAGCAGTAGTCGGCAACGCAGGGGGCAGAGGACTGCCGCCGCCACTGATGCGAGCGTAATTCATCAGGCTCTCTCTCTCGAGTCCACTCTCATTCCTAGCTCTCTTTCTCTCTATTACTCGTCCATTATGCTGATGAATTTAATTTGTCTACGAGGCTGCAGGGCACACGAACAAGAGAAAGAGAGAGAGAGAGAGAGAGAGAGAGAGAGAGAGAGAGAGAGAGAGAGAGAGACCAGATAAAAACAACAACAGTGTATAGGCGAGAAGCAAAAGTTCGTCCAAAGTCTCGACGTCGAGATTTCCTACGTCGAAAAGGGAAAATTTTAATTGCTCCCGCGCGCGCTCACGGCCGAGCTTGCGCAAGCATCGCAGCTATCGCCCCATTCATCGAGATTTTCTTTTGCAGCAGCCTCTGTTTCTGTTAATATGCTCTGACCCTTTCTCACCCCCTCCCGGCCGTATCCTCTGTTGCTGATTTGCATCGCGTCCAAAGTAATTTTCCGGCTTTACTTTCAATTGCGCTAATTTTTCGATATGAATGGAACGCCGTGGAAGATCCAAAATATTCTCGGATCACCCGTGATTCAAGACGCGATTGCGTACAGTCGAGTATTGATTTTTTCGCGTTCTCAAAATTTTTCCCTGCTTTTACGCGTATAGAGGAATAAAAGTTTAGGGTACATCTTAAGAGTTGTTGTACACGATATGTATGAAAAAAGTCTTTTCACGAGTACAAAGAGTCAGCTGAAGCTGCTCTCAAGAGAAAAAGATGAGTAAGAAGGGCACTCATTTCTTCCGGCACTGTCTGACCCGAATGATCGAACGAACACCGCGTGTACATGGTAGATTCTCTATCAAATCCAATAAGGGAAATATTTTCATTTTAAAATGTAAAAATTTTTTGACGTATTTGTAAATATTGATCATACGTATTCATGCAGCAGATATAGAATACAGCGTAAAAAAGAATTAGACTATAACAACAAGAACGTAAAGTGAGTACATATTATGCATGGAACTAGAAAAAAGTCGATCCTTTATACTCGCTGGCACGAAGCCTCTCCCAAAAAATCTTCTGCAAATTTTCGGACGAGAAAACGTTCGACTATGCATATACGGGGGGTAAATTACGCTTTCAGGGAGTCTCGCACGTACTCGTCCTCTCTCTCTCTCTCTTTGAAGTTAGGATTATATTCAATTTATGCAGGCGCGCAAGCGAGGATGTGAGATTTGACTGCGCCTGATGCTTTGCTTGTGCCACTAAAAAGAGATAAAGAGAGAGAGAGAGAGAGAGAGAGTGAGACGCAAAAAGCAAAGCACGCGGGGGGCAAGTAATGCGATACTCGCGAGCTCGGGATATAAGAAAGTATTTTTTTCACGTTTTTACGGCTCTTTGTACGGGGTGCGCGCGTGTATCACGAAGGAGGCCAGGATTCATAACTCGTTATTTGATATTTGGTAGAGGAGCAGGGTATCTGTTTCGAAGAGAAAATATTTTTCCTGAAAACAGCGCGTGAGCTTTGTTCGAATTATAATGCGTGCAAAAATCAACGATGAAAAATTATAACCGTGTCCCGGTGGAGCTATAGAAGATGAGGTTGAAAGGAGGGAAACAAAATAGAAATTAGCCAGAAATAATAACGATTTCCACAATACCTGCGGATACTCGCTATCCTTGCTCTGGTAGTTGAAGTGAAAGAAGTAGGTCTGGGCGCCGCGCCGCGCGTGATAGAAGGCGATCTTCATCAGCGGGGCCACGGTGTGGCCGTCGCTCAGCGCCTCCATGGTGGACTCGCGTATGTTGATCGGGTGCAGCACCGGCTTGTCCCAGTCCGTGTACTCGTTGCGCACCGCGCTGAATATCTCGTTGAGATGATAGAAGTAGGCGTTGCGCACGAAGGTGCGCAGCACGCGATTGCGCTGGTCCTCCTCGAAGCCGTATTGTATGTCGTTGGCGTTGAAGTCCAGGTAGGACTCGGCCGTGCAGACGCCGAGGACGATGGGCACCTTGATGAAGGCGTCGCTCAGCCGCTCCATGTCGAGGCTCGGGTCCGGGTGGCTGCCGTCGATCGGCAGGCTCGGTCCGATCGCCGGCATGAATCTGTGCCGCGGCGAGAATAAACAAAAATATATATGGTATATAGAGACCCCCGTTGCGTTATCACTTTTTTTCACAGTCGAGCGAGCTTTGGTTGGTGCACTGCGCGGCGCGCGTATTATACATAAAGAATCTTTTGTACGGGCGCGCACAGAGAGAGATCGACGATTCATGGCTTCGGCCTTGTTTTTCATTGCAGAAATAAATAAAATTCTAACTTATCTCTCTCTCTCTCACTCTCTCGCGTTTTTTTTTGTATTCCACCGAAGAATGCGATAATATTAAAAAAAAAAAAGATGGAGAAGAACAATAAATTTACTTCCATACAGCGCACCGATGCTCCGATCTCGCGGCAAGCTTCGCCCCCATTGTGCGCACGAAAAATAGATCGCAGGAAAACTTTTCATAATTTAATGAAAAAGAAAAAAGGGCTGCGCGCGAGAAAAAGAGAAATTGCATTATCTTTTCCCAATCTGTCTAAGCAAAGCCATTATGATCAGAAAATGAGCTCGCGCGAGACCTTATCTCGCTCGACTCCCCTCGGCTTCTCGAGAGATAATTATCATTTTCTAGCGGTCTCGACTTCCCCTTGCATATAAATATTATTCGTCCTCTCTGAGATTTTTATCTTTCCAGAAAAATAATTCATTAATTCTTTTATCTCATCTTGAATCAAAAAAGAAACTTGACCTAACCCAACTAGAAAACTGACATATATCTCCAGAATTTTAATAAGTGAGGTTCTTCATCGCACATTCAATGCTGAACCATTTCCAATGCGTTGCCTTATCAAAATTTTAGTTCCCTTATTTGTAACATTATCTTTTTGAAAAATGAAAAAAAGTGTGAGCAACATTCTGTCAAAAATTCAATGCAGTTTACAAGAATGTAAACAAGATAGTCTTACGACACCCGGTTCAAAAACTCGTTTTCGAGACCATCACGAAACTTCCACTGGGAGAACGAAAAAGAAAAAACCGCGAGGCATTTTATTATTTGATGCTAAGCGACACGAGCGACGTAGACATATATATATATATACGGAGGCTCGCATATGACTACATCATATGTGTGGGAGGGTGGCGCATAGCGATGCTGCAACTACACGCGCGTTTTCAAAATGCTCTACCTTATATAGCCCGGGCTGAAATAACTTGTATCGTTACGATATAACATGTCGGGCGAAGCGCGCCTTGGTCTTTCGGGCGAGATTATGTAAAGTGTATTCCCGCAAGCGTCGCGCAATAGAGGTAGAAAGAGAGAACTGCAGCATATCAAGAGCTTTTACATACATAATACCTCCGCGCGCGCGCGCTCGTGTGCACCGGAGCTAGCTCACCCACATATATGAAAGATATATATAATACATAAACCCCCGGTGGCGAAGTCGCGACGACGACGACGACGACGACGGTGAAAGGGCCGAAGTGAAAAAAGAAAATAAAAAACGAGCCGACGCGCTGCAAGTATATATTGTGTAAAGCCAAGCAGGCGACGAACACTGTACGTAAGTATATAATTCATATATGTTACGTACTTAATTTCGGTGAGCTCGACCCCGAGGAGGGCTTCGAGGCTGACCTGTCGCAGGCACTCGGCTATGTCCTCGTCGGTGGAGCGACAGTCGAGCTGCTTGGCGACCTGTTCCCGCAGATCGTTCGGATCGTGCACCGCCGCCCAGGGACTCAACGCCGAGCCGCTCAGCAACACGACGTTGTGAAATAGACCTGCGAACAAAAAAAGGAAGACTGATGCAGTGAACTGTATATACTACTACTATACGGCACATGTGCAGCTTACAAGCGATATATATGTTGCTGATAAATTACAACTTATTCCCGCCGCCGCCCCCAGTGCCCAGCACAGAGAGAGAGAGAGATAGTACAATAGAGAGGCTTCCAATCCGAGGAATAAAATTTCGTTATATATATAGACGTGTACGTATAGCATTGTGTGTTGGCCGGGCGTGGCAAACGTAGAATTTCATTTCTCCGCGCGCGCGGGTGAAAAGAGGGAAAAAAAAAATAAAATATATATGTACATGTAGAAAAAGTCCAATATAACCACGAGCAAAAAGCACGATATACGTATGTAGCGCGTAATACTAGAGCTGCTGCTCTCGGACGAACTGCGCGTGCCTGAGTGGCAGAAGTGAAAAATTTAATTTAAATCCTATCAGAGCCAGGCTCCGCGTGCTGTGTTATATAGTATATATATAACACACGCGTACATCCTGTAAATTCGGTTCCTATAAAGCCGGTGCGTGCGTGCGCCGTTGTATTTACATGTATACAAGTTATATGTGTATCCAGGTATTCGCTCGAGCGACGTCAGCGTCTTACAAAGGGCCCCGGCTCGGTCTCGCGTTACATTTATGTATATGCATCGTACACGACATACGGCATAAACTAAAAAAAAGTGCAATAAAATGTTTTCTTTTCGTCGCTACTGCGCCTGTGGATAATACGACGAGAGTCTTTAACGCATTGCTCTTCGCGCGCGACAGCAGCAAGTATTAAAACGATGACGAGATAAGGATATTGGCCTGGAGCGTTGCCAATATCGATATGGCTTTTCTCACTCTCGGCCGTCAGCTTCTGTACGTACATACGCGCATGCATATACAGTGCTAATGATACGCTCGGTATCTCGGGCCAATTATCCACAAGTTCGGAGAGAGAGAGAGAGGACTGCATGAACGTATACAGGAGAGATTCTAATTATACTACGTTAAGTATTCGACAGGTTCGCAAAGATAACGAATATTTTTCTTCGATTTCGACGCTCGTATAATAATACAATGCAATACGTACGTGCGGTGGTCAACGAATAGATATCTCTCTCTCCCTCTCTCGACTTTGGCAAATTTACAATTCGTCCATTTGTAGCCGCGTATGGTGCGATACATTTGTCGGGGCGTATTTTATATTTGCTATATAATACGCGCGCGCGATAACGCCGATGCACACACGGATGTGACGAATTTTTAATTTTTATATGTTCTCTTATCCGCGCGCTGACGGGGTGAAATCGAATCCCCGGTTGCGGTGCGCTCGAATTTCGTCAAATATAATTCAGGAGAAAACACGAGCGCAAGATTCATTGATTGTTTTGAAGCTGACGTGAAAAAAATCAACTGTCCACGTGCGAGCCGCAACTCAAAAGCCGAAAATTGATATTAAAAAGCGAGAGAGTTTCAATTTGAACATATACCATAAACTATACTCTTTCCGCGGAACCGCATGCGTATTAACGTGAGAGATTTCATCTTTTTCACCTAATGTATGCGCATTTATATACATTAGCTGCGTGGTGAAATTCGCAGTAATTTATAACGTACTCATCTTGCAAATGAAATTCACTTTGTATATGAGCGTCGAATAAAGCCGAATGCCCCGCATGTGTTACCAACGACACAATTGAGATTAAAATCAATATTCGGACTCAATTCTAGAGCAACACCTCACTATATATAATCATTCAGTTTCGATCTCTGTAAAAAATAAAGAAAAAAATCGATCACACTTTGCAAGCGAGAAAATAGATATATCGCATCCAATTCAGATGTCTATGTACGATTCTTTGTGCGCGAATCATTTCTCGTGCACTGGCATTTGCATCTCTTTTGTAAATTTTCCAGCTCGCCAGCTTATATAGGTGTATATTGCGAGTGAATCCGATCCGAATTTTATTAGAAAGACGACACAGAGACGCAGTATTTTTTCGTTTGTCGCGACAAAAAAGAAAGGACTCAAGCAAACAAGATTAGGTACGTCGAGTTATCTTGCCTTCGACATAAAAAATGAAATGTTGGTCGACAAATCTGTTGCGGAGCCTCATATTAACAAAATAAAAAAAAACGAAGAAACAATTGTAATTAAGAATATTATCTTTCTACCAACAACAGACTTTCGTTGGAAGATGATTGCGAGATGATTTTCATAATTTTTCGGAATTACGCTTCTTTCTTAGTTTTTCGTTGGTCATTTGAAAGAATAATAACTTCCCTGCTTGAGACTTTGTATTGAAACCCAAAAAAGCACATTTAATAACCATTTATTAGAGATTATTTACAATATCACTGACAAAAAAACTGAAATTTCAATATTTTTTTATTTACAAACTAAAGACTTTAACTAAAAACCGCTTCGATATTTCGATACACGAGGACTTCCACTTTCTCCAAATATTTTATGTTTATTCTTTCACTTGATTATAAACTAATAACAAGTTCTTTTAACAAGCTAATTTAACATGTAAAGTTAGATAAGTATAGGTGCGCGCGGTTTGTTATGATGCCTCCAGGCAAATCAGATGTTCGGTAAAGTGACCATTTCGTGACAATCTGAAAACGCCCTATTACGTTTCTAACGAGTGGAAAACTCATTTATAATCAATGTTTTTTACGTCACGTTTCCTTATATATTTGTTTATTGTTAATTGAGTAAATGAAAATATGCTTTTCTAATACAAACACGGTTTGATTTAGAATTGGAGTATTCGATCTGTAATGACGATCGCATTGATCGTAATCGTACCCAATCTAAGTTATGAAGAAGCAGCCTATATTGTAGCGTCATGTATCTCTATGTCTCTCTTTCTCTCTCTTGCATCTACGCGTGCGTTTGAGCTACTTTCTCTGCGTCCAACAACGTGTAGATCTTATTTAGAAAGCATAAGTCCAGCAGAGTAGGGCCGACGTGTATTACATAGCTGAGTTCTATTTTTATTTCTCCTGCGTATGTTATAATACTCGAACGGCCCCAACCACACTGAATTTTCGATTTCTAATGAAGCGGCTCCATTTGCTCACATATCTCTTGAGTTCGTCCATGTGTTTGCCTATTCGATATGTAGTCAGTACACGTTTTAACTCTACAGCGTGAACAGAGGTAGATTGCGTCGACTTCCACAAATTATTTTCGTGTAACAAAAAGAAATAAAAAAAGTATAGTAACTATTGGAGAGTTTAAAGAGCTTACGTGTAAAGAAAACTTTGATGAATAATCATATGATATTGATAAACTTTATTCCTTGCTCATGCGTTGGGAGGGCCCACTCCCAAATTTCCGAGATGTTTTTGGCAAAGAAGACATGGATCAACTACTCTCAGATTTAATAAATGACTTCGATCGTGAACGGTATCTTGAAATAGATTTCATCATTTTTTTCGTGGCTCGCAGCGGCTACAAGGACGAGCCCGAGGAAGTTGACAAAGAAGGCAAGCCAATGCTGCGTCGCACCACTGCAGTGCATCTCGCGTTTAAAATCAAGCCCAGCCCTGGCTTTTACCCCATGATTAGGGTGCTCTTTAACATATACGATAAATTTCAAGTGAATTACACCGACGAGTCCGGCGTAACGCATTTTCACGTGGCCTGCAGCTGCGGCTTCGTCGACATCGTCGAGAAATTCCTCGAGCACGGCCAGGATCCCAATTGCCTCACGAAAGAGACACTCGATTCACCGCAGACTGTTGCTCTGGCTAATAAGCACAGGCAGGTGGTCGAATTGCTGCTGAGAAGCCGCGCGAACGTAAATGTCTGGAAAGGGTTGGCACAGACTGCGCTTCGATGGGCAGTGACGAATATCAAGCCGAGCAGGATCGATTCAATCTTGGATCGTGGCGCTGATCTGTCTGAATTTGTTTTTCCGACTCACATCGACTTCGCCGCTGCAGCCTATGAAGAGCGTCGTCGTTCGACCTATTTTGAATTGGTCCTAGTATCTAGAATTCTGTCCGTCGTCGATCGTCTCGAGACCAGAGGATACGAGATGGACCGTAGAGGCGTTCTGACGATCATGGAATTATTCTCCGAGTACAAATTGTTCGAACGTGCGAATAATCTCGAAGAATATTTGCGTATCGACGAACGCTTCGCGTGCGAAGCAAGAGGAATACTGATAAGTCCAGGGCTGTCGCTCTACGACGTGATCCTGTTACAACCCCAAGAGACGACGAGACGACTCACATCCTGCGACTTCACGCGGTTGCAGCGCTTGCCTAGATGGTACGAAAAGGCTTGCGTTGCACACCTGTGCGAAAAGTTGTCGAGAGGATTTTTCCGCAGTTGGGCCATAGAATTTTTCATGCATACGACGTATTGCCGATTGTCAATCCTTTGCTGTGAAATGATCATCGACCAGCTGAATAATCGAGATTTACGTAATATTTGCTACGCGGCCGCAGGCCACGACTCTTCGCATGAGACATCGGACATTTTTTGCGATGTTTTATTTTGTTTTTTATATTTGCTATTAATTATTTGCGTACTTCAAGATATTGTAATATTTTAAAATAAATTTGGTATAATTTATATAAACTTTAAAAAATGCATAGTGATTTTCTTATTGTTAAACTTACGATGATGAAAATGAATATCTGCATATTCCATCTTTTTCTCAAATCACTTTTGGGCTCTCGAACTTATTCTCGATATTTCAACTTATTTCTCATGAGTTTGAGGTTGTTAAGACACGAAGACGAGAAATTCCTACGTTTCGTCAACCCTCGCATACCCTTACGGGAATCATGAAGATCGCGCGAGTCCTTGCCTTACTCAAATTTACGCAATCATGTAAAGAAAAAATAAATGGTAAAGCTGAGAAGTTTAAAAATAAATTTTAAAAAATCATTCAACTGTATTTAATGAGATAGTAAAGGGTGAGAAAAACAATTCATGAATGTATTAACAGTTTTTCCCATTAGCAACACGTTATCAATGAAAACCTTTTAAACAATATAAATTATACTTGCTTCAGCGACCCAAAAAACCAATAATACAGCCCAAGTTGCTGTGAAGAGCGCGTATATAAGTGCTCTAGTGCCACCAGTTGTCACGGACTGTGTGTATTCGAAAGAAAGAAACATTTTACTTGAAACAATGTTAAAAGTTTAAAAAAAAAACACACACACGCACACGTTTGAGTGCGCCTGTAACTCAAGTTCAACGACCCGCGCGCGAGGTGAACAATCGCAAAAGCGAGAGCTTTTACCCACAATTTACACGTACGTCGCTTTAGTTGGCCGAAACTGCGCGAAAACAAGTACGACTCTACCGAGAGAGAAAGACAGAAAGAGAGAGAGAGAGCGAGAAAATCATACCACGCATAGTAAAGCGTCGCACATCTAGAGCACGAACGAGAAAAAGAAACGCTGGGGGTATATAAACGTAATGAGAAAGAGGCCTTGTCGTGGTGCGCGACGACCCTTTTTTTTAAGTTCATTTTTTTTTATTTTTTCAAGGCGAAAAATAGAATAAAAAAATCTGTTTCCACCGTTGCTGCTGCTACGCCATTCGTGTGTGCGGGCCGTGCACCCCTAATTGCAGAGAGAGAAGAGAAAAGTCTCAGTGCTACTTCTCCGTAATTATCAAAAGGACTCGCAGTCAAAAATGTGGTCGTAGTACATACGCGCGCGTGTGTGTGCGCGAGTAAAATTGAAGGAGCTAACTCAGACACGGGGCTTCTTTTTTTTTTGGACGGAGAGTACCCGTACGGCATGAGATTACACGTAGGACCGATTCTATTTTCTTGCGGTCGTTTTAATAACAGGTGCGTTAGCGCATTTACTTGGAATAGAGTTAATTTTTTTTCTTCAACTTTTCTATTTTCACAAGCTTTTAGTTTCTCGGCGTCGCGTGTGATTCGGGTAATTTAATCTTCCTTGGCACTAAAAAAGTTTGCCGCATGAATCTTCATTAAATTCTTTTGATTACATGTAATGGTTTTTCCGTCAATTTTTGAGGGCTTTAACGTAAAAACTGACTTCGGCAGAAGAAAAAAAAAAAGAAAAAAATTACTTTAGCTCGATATAAGATGTAATTTTTAGGAGCCCAGCTGCATTTGCTTCAAACTGGATTTCGCGTTGCCAAGGGGAGTAGTCACTATCGCGAAGCTCGAGTTCATTTCCTGCGTCTATCGTGCCACGCGCGTCGCATCTCGTATCTCGCGCAACATGCCAGCGACTCAATATTTATCACTATTTTTTACTTCAATTTTTTGCGTGGAATATATCCCGAAAAAGATCAAAGAAGGCAATCGCGATCAATAAATATTCCGCGTGTTTTTTTCCCGCAGATACGTATTGGCAAGAGCGGCGTTAAAATTTAATATTATATCATCGATACGAAGCTGGTAAATGCAAGCTTTTTGCCCCGACTGCTGCTGCTGCCGCCGCACGCCAACGTATTACTTGCAAAGATCAAAGGTATAAAAGTTAATATATACTCTGTGTTTCATATATAAAGCGAACACATTTTAGTAGCGAATATCTTGGCTTTGCGTGCTGCATCGGAAAAAAGAAGACATTACACGGCAGAGTATGCTTTCACGATCATAGCATTTCATCCTGATTATCGGTAAGAATATATTGAAATGAATCGCTATTGAATTTAATGTAAGGAAAAAAATTAACGACGCAACAATTTTAAAATAAACTCTTTGGTAACTTCGTGCCTGTACATTATTTTCAGTAAAAAGATAAAATAATCTGTTGTCAAGTTCTCGACTAAGGTACATAAAAAGTCTTAGCTATTTTCATACAGCGAAATATTTCATAAACTATGAAAGAAACTTACGTTTTTTTCTAAAATTTACGTACGTAAGATAAATTGAGGAGCGTATACGTACTCCGTTCAACTATTGGGTAAGTAAAAATCAATATAGCTTGATACGTAGTAATGAAGTCACGGTAAAACTTGCAAATTGCTGCCCTTCGTCTTTTCGAGGAACTGCAGGCCTCTTTTTGAGTTGACCAGTGCCCAATTATGCACGGCTATACTACATGAGTAAATACCTTTTCCGAATGGAGCCAGCAGCAAATAGTTGACCAGAGCTGCCCCGGTGTCGTGGCCCATCAGGGTGACTCTAGTCGGGTCGCCGCCGAACGAGCCGATGTTCTCGCGTATCCACGTGAGCGCCATGGCGATGTCGTGCAGGGCCAGATTTCCACTGTGCGCCGATTCGGCCGATTCCGTCAGAGGCTTGGTGCGCAGAAAACCTGAACGATGCGTTGTGCATCGAAAAAGAAAATGTAAAAATTTTTACGTCAATTTAGTGCCGTTGAATTTTCATTGTGCTCAATGGGATCGATCAGTGTGGGAAATGAGAAGAAAAGGGAAGCGGGGGGTACAGAAAAAATCGCGTAGAAAGAGCAAGCAAGTTTTAATGGTTTTTGTGCATCGAGAAAGGGGAAAAACTTTTTGTTGAAATTTCTTCCGGGAATTCCTGAGACTTCTCCCCCCTGGAGTATAATCGGAAAACAGCGAGAAAAGCAGAGAAGCTCTCCGTTTTAAATATCGAACTGCACGAGCAGGAAGAATTCATACTTCTTGCAGCTCGTTATATCGAGAGCGATCAAAGGGCAACTGCGGATGCGAGATGATAATACGCTACTACATGGCAAAACTTGCGAGCGAGCGCGAGTTTGCTTCATTAAAGAAGATTCATTTTAATCGTCTCTACAAGCTCTCCAACAACGCTATATATCAACTGAAATATCAAAAAGTTTCACCGTGCGCGAGCTTATTTATTAATAATAACGCGAAACTCGTGGAAATTACGCTCTTTATAAAGAGGCCATAAAGTTGGCGCGCGCATGAGAGGAGAGCTGCGAAAGCTGCAGGGGGGGTAAAAATAGCCTTCTGTACTATGATACTTTACCCAAGATCCCAAGACGGTAATTCAGGGTAATGACAATGACGTGTCCGGCGCTGGCTAGTACCGAGCCGTCGTAAATGTGGCCGCTGCCCCACTCGAAGCTTTCACCGTGAATGAAAACCATTACGGCGTAGGGCGCCTCGAGTCCTCGTGCACCTGTGCATGCGGAGAGTCATATGGTAAATTATTACTATCTCGTTATATATCCTGCGCTTCTCGTCTTATTTTCAATCGCACACACGCGAGACAGTTCGAAGCTTGGAAACGACAACACGCGAAAACTCACCGCTTCCTGGTATGTACAGATTGAGATAGAGGCAGTCCTCGCTGTGATTCGAGACGTACTTGAAGAGCCTGAGCAGCTGATTGTAGCGGGCCAGCGGCATGTCCTGCAGGGCCGCCGTGCGATTGGAGATGTCGGGCAGCTTCTGCGGACAGGCCGGGCCGAAGGTGTCGGCGCGCTTGGTGCCCTTCCAGCCCTGGGGCGGCTGAGGCGGACGGAACCTCAGATCTCCCTGAGGAGCGGCCGCGTACGGTATGCCGCGGAACACCTCCACCGGATCCAAGTGTTGGCTGTTCAGATCCTGAAACCCGGGCGTTATAATTGTATAACGTTGAGACGATGATTTATGCATTGATTTGAGGAAAGCGTGTGCAAGCTGCGTACCTGCAAAATGCCACGAATCTGTCCGGACTTGGTGTCGACGATTCTTGAGGCGTATCTCATGGCTGGCACGGCTGCGGCCGCGCTCACCGACTCGGCGTGCAGCATCAGAATCATCGCGAGGCAAAAAACGAGGCAGGTAGTCCTCGGACACGGAGCAGCAGGACTCGTCACCGTCGGGGGCGGCGGCGGCGGCGGCGAGGATCTCGTGAGCCAACGACGACGACGCGACGGCCGGGCGAGAGTCGGCGGCGGCATCGCTGCAGCGACAACAACGACAACATCCGCGGTCGGCCGAACGAGGACGCAACGAGGCCCGCTGCATGCCAGCTGAGCAGCTGCGCCGCTGCTGCTCGTTGCCACGGATCTATGCAGCGCTGCGATGCCGCGGTCGATCGACTCGGGGTTGGGTCTTACGATGGTTCTTCGTCTCGCGTCACCATCGCATCGTGCGCCAGGCCACACCAGTGGCTCCCGACGATCGTTTCCTTGCGCGACGATTTCTACGCTTTACATGTGTGTGGAATTGCAGCTGTCGTCGCGAGCGCTGATTTATTCTGGTCCTCCACCTGTCTGTAATACAAAGAAGAGGAAAAAATCCATGATTAGAATATGTAAAGATAAAAAAGTATTGAATTAAGTATAAACATGGAGAGCAGACTAATCACACCTTGGCATGGCGCGGCAACCGACAGCGGCGGCCAATTTCGGAGTGAATATCAAAATTTTTTATTATAATATATAAATGTATATTTTATAAGCATATATTGAATCTATATTACAGGGAGTTTTGTTGAAGTACTAAGTTTCAAATATTTCAAGTATAAATAAATAAATCGGTCACTTAATTGTGAACAATATGATTATAAACGATTTTGACACATTCCCTCTACATACAAATCATGTTTGTAATGAAAACAAATTAGTTCAAATGTTATCTTTCCTGATGAAACAAGACATAGCAACAAAACTAAATAGAAAGTTCTATCGATTAATTTAGATACAAAAATGGATACAAGTGAGAAGAAATCTGAACCAGTTGTTTCAAAAAATAATTCAAGTGAACGCGACATTGTTGTTTCCGACGACAAAAAATACATTTGTGATATTTGTCGGGAGGCATTTACACAAGAATCAAGCTTGATAATACACCGAGACACAATTCACAATGAACAAAAAAATTACTCATGTGACAAGTGCGAAAAGAAATTTGAGTTCCAAAGTCATTTGAGTAGACATCAAATAGCAGAACACAAGGGCAGCAAAGATTTTGCGTGCGACCAGTGCGAAAAGAAATTTGTGAAAAAATCGAATTTGATTACGCACCAAAAATTAATGCACAAAGATTGCGAGGATTTCACGTGCAACAAATGCGAGAAAAAGTTTGAAAATAAATCAACGTTACTTAAGCACAATAAAATATTCCACGATGTTTTCAAAGATTTCTTATGCGAAAAGTGTGCCAAGAGATTTGGAAATAGACGCGGTTTGCTCCTGCACATAAAAACAGTCCATGAGCGTTGCAAAGATTTCGCATGCGACAAATGTGATGAGAAATTTATGGAAAAATCGCATTTGCTCTTTCACCTGAAGACAGTACACAAAGCTCGAAAAAACTTGGCCTTAGAAGTCTTCAATGATTACTCATGTGACAAATGCGAAAAGAAATTTGGACACAAACCGCATTTGCTCACCCACCAAAAGACAGTTTATGAAGATCGCAATGACTTTGCATGCGCTAAGTGTGAGAAGAAATTTGGATATAAATCTGATTTGTTGAACCACCAAAGGACAGTACATGATGATCGCAAAGATTATGTATGCGACAATTGCGAAAAAAAATTTGGACAAAAATCTAATTTGCTCTACCACCAAAAAACAATTCATGAAGGTTGCAAAGATTACGCATGCGACCATTGCGAAAAAAAATTTGCACGAAAATCGAATTGGCTCTTCCACCAGAAGACAGTTCACGAAGGTCAAAAAGATTACGCATGCGATAATTGCGAAAAGAAATTTGGACAGAAATCAGACTTGTTGAAGCATCAAAAGACAGTTCACAAAGGTCTCAAAGATTACACATGCGACTATTGCGAGAAAAAATTTGGACATGTATCGCATTTGCTATCTCACCTTAGGACAGTACATGAAGGTCGTAAAGATTTCGCATGTAACCAGTGCGAGATGAAATTTACACGAAAATCGAGTTTGCTTGTGCACCAGAAGACAGTTCACGAAGGGCACCAAAATTATACATGCGATATTTGCCAGAAGAAATTTGGAGCGAAATCAATATTAACAAGGCACCAAAGGACAGTACATCAAGGTCGTAAAGATTATGTATGCGACAAGTGCGAGAAAAAATTTGGACAAAAATCTAATTTGCTCTACCACCAAAAAACAATTCATAAAGGTCAAAAAGATTTTGCATGTAACCAGTGCGAAAAAAAAATTTAGAAGTCAATCAGATATGCTCAGACATCGAAGGACACAGATCCACAAAGGTCATATAAAGACATCACTTGAGCTACAAATGCGAAAATAAATACAGATTGACAATTGTATTTATATATGAATACTTATATAGATGTTTTTTCAAAATTTCGGTAAAAATCCCGCTGAAATTATTGTATATTATCAGAACTTTGGACGTTCAACTGTCGTTACACCTTTTTACTCTGACGTTGTGAATTACTATTCTCAGTGCATTTTTAATAGAAAACAGAAATTGTGTAGCCAATAGTCATCTCCACAAGCAATAAAAAGATCCAGCCAAAAGTCTTCCGCATATGACCAATACGAGAAATTGTATGAAGCTACTCTTTTTACACTCGTGTTTGATCATTTTACTGAAAAATCCTACATCCCTGCCTTCAGCAGTATTGATTTATTAAATTTCAATTATATATGTTCAGCCCTGCATGGGGGATGTCCAACTATTGCATGAAGGATCAACATAAAAATAGTAACTTTCTAGAATGCTTGTAATTATTAAAATATTTTCTGAAACTCAATTGGCGAGGTATTGATCAGGCGAAATTTCAGGAAGTTTCCTCGTTTTTAATGAAAGATATTTGATAAACAATGTTGGAAATCACGTAAACTTGTGTAATGTTCATCAAATAACAAGATGTATTTCAAATAATTTTATTCGATAACATTTTCTCTTGCAAAAAGGTCATTTCGAAGCAAGCTATTATAAAAATAATAAATTGAAAGCAAGTTGTCTCAAATTTAGATTTATAATCAGCTTATTCCATTTTCATTTAGGCCCTAAAAGTTAAAAAGCTTTTACGATTTTCATTTATGTGTATCGATGATATAAGAATATAACGAAACAGTTAGAACTATACAGAAATATCATTGTACTTTCATCTCTATTTTCTCTGTGCACATTCAGCTGCTTTAAAATTGCATTTTCATTGAGTTCTCTGTCGCGTTCACATGTACATGTATATCTTCTTGGAATAGTATAGAGTCTGCAGTGATACATGAATATGTAACGTGATTCGTGCAATGCTGAAGTTAATGTCACATTACATGCAACTTACTTTTTCTTCATACAAACACGTATCTATTTTCCTATGTAAGTAGCGTATAAGTACCAAGATGTTTGTAATTATGCACGCGATTTGCTCAGTAGAGTTTAATCTCGCGCAATAAACAAACTATCGACCCTTGACGAGGAGTGTGACAACTCCAGTAATGTTGTATTCACAGGACAAATCAAGCTTCGAAAAATAGTAGCTTCGCAAGTATTTAGCGCAGATCGATATTTTGTGCGTACAGAAAAACCGTAGACTGAACAGTTTTCCATTAATCGGTAATTATCACGAGGAAATAATGATATATACCTACTTTTCTCTAAGGAATCAGATAATACTTACTTTCAAGTCTTTCGAACATTTACTTTTCTTTATAAAATTAAAAAATTTTTCGTTGAAAAAGCAAAAAAATTAAAAGATGAGAAAATTAAATTATTTTATAAAACTAAAACTCGATTTGTGCAAACTTGTTCTTTCCATCATAAAGGTAGATGAAAAAATTCTGAGATCGGTTGCATTGTAAATTTGCTCTTTCTAATAAGAATCAAAGGAGTGCAATTTCTCTTGAAATAATATAGGTTCTTTATTCTCACTTTATGTGGATTCGCATTAGATATTCATAATTCAATTGGCTATCTTTCCTTTTTTATCTTGATTGCAGCAGACGCAGGTTGTTCCAGATTTATCGATACAAATTTTTAACAGTGAAAATTGTCGAGGAAAGGTAAATATTGTCCAGACAAGGATGAAGTAGTTTTTCATTGCTTTAAACTTGGTTCATTTATTATTTTGTTTGTTGTTAATTTACACAGTTAATTATATATAAATTTATTTTCATAATTTAAGAATAATAACAATAATTCCGTACATTTGCTTTGACCGTTTTAGACACAATTGTTTCAAATGATATTTCTGAGAGCCCAACTTTTTATTTGTTTTATTTACAAAATAAAAAATTAAATTAGTTGGTGCATTCGTCGTTATGCAGTCTTTGATTTTTTTATCAGTGTTTACCAGAATTTTGCTGTGAAAATTTATCGAAAATCGATCAAAAAAATATAAATTTATCTGACGATCCCCTAAGTTTTGTAAAAAAGTAAAAATCAAAAAAAAATTTTCTGACACATATTTATTTTAACAAACTCCATGACTCTTTTGATCGGTTATTTTTCATGATTATGATCGCATTGAATGTAAATATAAATCTATATGGCTTATATTTTAAATTGAAAGTATTTCATGAAATGGAATTCAATTAAAATGGTTCAATGTGAACGCTCAAGCATTCATACTGTCTACTGAAATAAAATGCCCTTTTTATTGTGAAACTAATTCAATTATTTACTAATTTTATTTTGTTTTATTTGCACATGATAGTTTTAAATTGATAAAATATAGGCCACATAAGTGCAGTTACTTTAAACCATTATATATAAATATGAAGCATATGTACAATTTTTTAAAATTAAAAACGAGTGATTTACAATATTGTTTTTTCTTTCATTTTTTCAGTTTGTCCTCAGTTGGTAGTCACCATTCTGCGTTATGTATCTAACCCATGGCAAAGCTTGATATCCACTCTTTTCAATGATTTTCAAGTATCTCACTTGGATACCTGAAGTCGTGAAGTAAGGGATTTCGAATTTCACCTGGATTGGGGGTTTGCCCTCCACATCTTCGCCAACAACTGAAGGCAAACCAAAATGCGCTCTCATAAGGTACTCTTTACCTCCAGGGAAAGATTTTATAGACCAAGTAATAGCACTTTGTTCTGGGGAATATTTAACACTTCCAATTGTAGTCTTGAATTTTGGAGAGTCTGCATCATTTGGCACGGGTATGACTATCTCAACATTGTTGGCAGTAGAACGGCGTTTGAATTGAGATCTAGCTTTAATCATGTATTCTACTCTGCTATGGGCATGACGTTCTATTACTGACTCAATCCAAATCAAAGGCTTGACATGAGTATTCAAGCGATAAGACATAAGTTCAAATTCACCATCCGGAGGAATGAACGATATGGTTCTATCATTCTCAAATCTTGAAAGTCTCACGCATTGGTGAAATTTAACATCTTCAAGTTCAACAGACTTTGATTTTCCACGTCCAGTCGATTCAAAAAGCACTTTGTCGTTCAAACCTAAACGAAGCTCTGGCATTCCTGATAAGTACACTCTCATTTTAATTGCACCAACAATTTCAGAACTTAAAACATTTCCATTGGCATTGGCCAACAAGTTGACAGATTCAATAACATCTAAAAATACTTCGTTCTTTCTATATTTAATACCTTCTGATCGCCAAGAAACAGCATTAGTAACAGCCATAGGAATTCTAGGCTGAATTTCTAATTTATGTCCTTCTTGAGTAATATATTCTTGCAAAATTTTGCTATCTGTAGTCTGAGGATATCCAAAATCAAGCAATTCGTCCAACAGCTCGTAAATCACTACAAAGTTATCTCTAATACTTTCTTCTTCCAATTCCTTGAAGTACTCCTGCATGACTTGGACAACTTTGTGTAGGAATACAAATACCAGCGAGATATTTGCATTTTTCTTAGTCGTAGAAACAATATAAAGATTATTATATTTAATGTAAGCATAAGTACACTCTGGAGTTTGAATTATAGGAGTGAGATTGCCCTCCTCTTCTCTTTCCATAACTAATGGCATGAACTTTTCAATGACACCGGCTTCGATATCACCTCGATAGTTCCTCGATATGAGGACTTTGCCTTTGACATCCAAAAAGAAAATCGCCGAGGTTGACATGATTGCTGCTAGATTTTCACCTGTAATTATACGAAAAATTTTACTCATCAAGACAGGTTAGAACACGTATGTCGGAGCAATTATGGTCGTGGGAAGGCAATGTGTGTTATCTCAGGTGTGAGCAAATGTAAAAGTGCGATAAGAGAGAAGGAAAGAGAGAGAAACAGACAGAAAGAGAGAATATGTATGTCGCGACAGGTTGTACGGACAATATGTCTTAAAAAATTCACGAGAAAAAAAGTCAACGCACCTAGTACAAAAATTAACAATAAAACGATGAACGATGCGATCTCACAGCGGTGAAGTATCCATCGGCGCCCCAAACAAATAGGCGCAAACAATTGTCAAATACTGACGATCGTTGGCACAGTATACACAACTGCACGACAGATTGTGGCCACTGTGCACCAGAATGCTGTGGCACTGGCTGGCAGTAGCAGCAGTAGCAGACACACCGAGTTGTGTACACGCACACAGATAAACACAAACTTTACATGGACATGTAAAGCTTCGCGATCAGCCAACGCGAGGATGGACTGAAGTCGACTGCAGGTGCGATTTTCGCCGCACGGAAAACTCGCCGAGAGTCGAGCTATATCGACTACGACGACGACTGACAACTTCACGAGTTGTCGGCGGCGGCGCGAGACTGAGTGGGCCTCGCTGAGTTTGCGCAGATGCATCGCTCGACCGCGCCCGGCACCAACTTTCAAATCGGCGCGACTCCGTTATACTTTGCGGCTGGAGTTGCGATTATTACTTACAGCGTGGTTTGGGTGGGGAATTTGCAAAATATTCAGAAATGGTTAACTATGGTTATTCCATAGTTAATAATTAAGCGCCGTAGGTTCAGTTAGTTTGATGGGCTATAGAAGCATTTTAAAAATAATTTTTTGCTGCTAAAAATCTCTGCTATTTTTAATCTCGAAAAGAAACAACTTTAGGGAAAACGTGCAAAAAGGGTACACGGTCTTACTGTCCAAAACAAACACTATCGAAACTCAAAAAGTCCAAAATTATTAAATGTTTCAAGAAAAAATTTTAATTCATTATAATTTTTATGAAAACTTTCGATTTATATTATACATAAGCTCGAATTCGTTTATAATTACTATTTACGCTTAAATTTCTGTGTTTACAATTTTACACTCTAGTCTGCGATACAATGAAAGAAGTATAACGAATTTTAACTATAAATAAATATTAGTAGTTCGTAATTGAAAACCATCTCCAACTTCTCATTACCGTAAACCTTTTGATAGTAGAGATTTGGCAGTAGAATTTTTGCGGACTTTTGATTTTCAGGTAATCCATTTACACGTTTTAAAAGTTACATAATATGCAATATTACAATGTTCATTATTGATGCAGTATGAAAATCGAAAGCATCCTGAATTACTAATTTCTGATGAGCCTACGCAAGGTTTGGGGATTGTAGAAAATAATGAAGTAAATGTTCTGTTCAAATGTTTGCAAAAATTATGTAAATGCAATATTACAAGGCTCGTTATTACAGCAGCACGAAAATCAAAACTGTTCTGAATCGCCACCTCTTACCGTACGGGATTGCGACAAATCAATGCAAGACTTTGGGTGTATTTGATGATGAATACTATAAATGAACGGAATCCGAAAAATACTTTTATGAAGAAGATGAATTTGCGGTAAATCACAGATTCAATGTTTCTCATTATAACATACAGCCTAAATTCATACCCATTCTTTCATCGATTCAAAGGGATTTTTGCTATTAGCATTTTTTCCTCAAAGTGGTTTTTTTTGGAAAAAAGTCACAAAGATTCTTAGTAGAAAAGAAATTATCTTTAAATGCGCCCCGCAAGCCCATTAAGTAAAACTAATTGTAGGAAGTTTCACTTTTAGGCACCAAGAGCCCTTACATTTTTTTTGCCAAGTATGTGTAATCCACAGGTGGGAAGATCTGCTTGCGAGATATTTTTCGTCTCATTATTTGTCACTTATGAACTTCATTCAGTAACTAAAACAAATCGATATGAACCGATTAATTTGTAAGACACTGACATTATTAGACTCCTGCATGTCGTGTCCGAGCTGAATGGAATGACGTATGAAAATGAACGCGAATCGTAAGACTTTATACATTCGCAAATCGCGGGAACTATATTCCTCGCCGAGTGCATAAATTAGTTGCGCGGCTTACAACGGAAATCGCGTTAGGGCAAATAAACTTGATAAATGTGTGTTTGTACGTATATAGGCTCCTTTGCTTGTGTGTACATTACCTAGCGTTGGTGCGAGATTGCAAAATTGCCACGCTCACCGTTGCAGCCTATATGTAATATGTATAACCGAACTGCATCGTTGTCTAAGGTGAAGCTGCGCTACACGCACTTAGATATATATGATCGTATACCATGGAAGATCACGACTGTACGCAACGCTTATAAAGGCATTAATTGCCGTCTCTCGAATTTCTCGCGAGACCCGCAGTCTCTTGCTTTGCGTGCCAAGGGCTTGCGTATGGGCTTCGTTGTGCCCCGCCGGCCTGGAGGTAAAGTTTACGACATTTCCGACAATGCATCGATTTATTTTGCATTATCAGATTCGCTCGCTTTTATATAGAGCGATGGAAAATACTAGCTCTTGTTTGCTTTGAATTTTATAAAACAAGAAGAAAAACTAACTACTTTCTTCGCAGAAATTTTCGCTGAGTTATATTATCGACCTGATGTGTTTTGCTGTAAACATTACTTTCAATTAAAATCTTCAAGCATTCGTTTGGATTTTCACTAGCACTCTTTAGCGTGCTTTGTGCGTATACAAAAATAATTTGTTTATAAACATTATTTTTAAATTTATTATTTTCTTTTTAATGATTTCCAAAATATATTGATGCGGCTTTCCAAAATCTAACTCTTAGCACAATTGACTATAATTAAACATATTTCTTAAGACATGAATTTGATTGAAAACTAACATTCCAAATTATTTGTGTAGGAGAAATTTTGTCATTCGAATTTTTCTGTAAATTTTTCCAAAATTAAATTAAAGGAAATCATTTAAATATACATTTTTTTTAACAATAATACATTTGAAATTGTAAAATTCAAATTATAAAATTCAAAAAAGGCACAACGCATACGTTTAATTCTGACTCGACTCGCGACGTATTTATTTTGATGACAGTCATGACTCATGACGCGATCATGGACCGTCAAATTTTTGTGAATATGAGGGGATTGAAAGTGAAGCCATAAATTCAAGCCATATATTGGTATGACAGTCAAGTCGATGCACGCTACATGTTCAGTCGCATGGCATCTTTCTAACCTGTATCTGCATGACATGTGGACTTGACTCAGCTTGTTGAACTTTTTACTGTTTAACTATTTAACCGTTATAGTATAAAAATATACATCTTTAGATTTTGTTGAAAAGTCTGTGTGTTAACATTTAATACTGATTTGACTTAAAATGAATTTTAAATCCGACGTGAGTTCAGCTTCAGACGTCGACATCGAATGCATGGTGATTACTAAGAATTTTGACATAAAAATAATAATAAACTTGCAGTTTTTTCATAGGTTTTTACTTTACATATTAAAGTATGTATAACCTATGGACTTGTGGCTTTCATAATTGATATATTTACCGGTGAATACGAGTAAATCTCGTGATATTTTAATGTTTGTGTCAACTTCACAGTATTCGTGTGAAAACTTAAAAACTACCATTCCTGGCATTGTTTATGTTGAGTTTTCAACTTTTGCACTCCTTGAGAACAACTTCTAGCGGGATCCTGTCTAGTGGGATTTTATCGCAAATCATCACCAAACAATCCTTAGATCTTTTTATAAAATCCCAATATCCCAATAAACCCCACCATGAATCATTACCAAATTATGGGGAAAAATAGTTTTTGAGTAGACGAATCGAGTGGTATGTCTATTTTTGGTGAGTGTGCCTTGTAAAAAAAGTTATGTATGACATAAACCTGGAATTTGTCCGCGCCCATTGTTGCTTTTCAATGCATTTTAATCGAATTTTGCATTGCACATCAACAGTTTTACTACAAATGGCACGATTTATATTGCGTATTTTAGTTTACGACATTTTGGAAAAGATGACGCTATGTGGTTTTTTTTTAAATTTTAAAAAATTAATATTTTAACCAAATTTAGGAGCAAAAATTGTCTTAAAAATATGGTTCATCGGCTTCAGCTGTAACATGTACGTTTTCAAATCCTCGCTGGCCCTCGTCAAAATTTGATGGGCACTATTTTTTCAGGTTTCTAAATCACTTGTAAATTTCCCAAAAAAATTTCACGAGTGTACTTTGAAAATAAATTATTTTTATAATGGCAAAATATTCAAACTACATGAGATTTACTCGTATACAATTATAAGGTTAAAAGACTGCATTTATTTGGCATATCAAATGAAGAGAAAAATAAAATCCTCTATTGAAACTGAAAAATTGAAAAGCCAATATATTACAGAGTTCTCACAAAAATGAACCATTCAGTTCTCTGATGCCTTATGAATAAATGAAGAACAGAGCAATTCTTCTTCACTGTATTTACTGGATAGAATCAATTGTCTAATTTAGTTTTTTTTTTTTATGAAATTTTCATTTATTGACATTGTGTCAATGTCATTGGTATAGGCTGTTTTCACAGTCGCCAGTCATGGTCACAAATCGACCAGCTGATTTGACTGGAGGCCAAATAAAGCGACCGTCCGTATACTTTACATGTTAAAGTTGGTTGGTCAAAGTACTTGCAGTAAAAGAATAAACAAAAAATAACTGGAGAAACCGGAAATCCTTGTGTATCGAAATATCGAAGCGGTTTTTAATTAAAGTCTTTAGTTTGTAAATAAAAAAATATTGAAATTTCGGCTTTTTCGCCTGTGAAGTTGTCAATAAACTCTAATAAAATAGTTATTAAAAGTGGTTTTTTTAGGTTGCAATACAAACTCTCAAAAATTTTTTATTCTTTCAAATTATCAACGAAAAACTAAAAAACAATCGTAATTAAGAATACTATCTTTCTACCAACAGCAGATTGCGGGAAGACGATTGCGAGATCATTTTTATACTTTTTTGAAATTACGATTGTTTCTTAGTTTTTCGTTGGTAATTTAAAAGAATAAAAACTTCCCCGCTTGAGAGTTTATATTGCAACCCAAAAAACCACTGTTAATAACTATTTTATTAGAGTTTATTGACAACATCACAGGCAAAAAAGCCGAAATTTCAATATTTTTTATTTACAAACTAAAGACTTTAACTAAAAACCGCTTCGATATTTCGATACACAAGGATTTCCGGTTTCTCCAGTTATTTTTTGTTTATTCTTTTACTGCTCGTTAAACTAACTACAAGTACTATGACCAACCAACTTTAACATGTAAAGTATACGGGCGGTCGCTTTGTTTGGCCTCCAGTCAAATCAGCTGGTCGATTTGTGACTGTCACTGACGACTGTGAAAACAGCCTATAGTGAACAATTATTAGCAACAATTTAAAATAATACTTTTAAATTTTTATTGGTAATTTTTCTCTTAAGTATACATAATTTCTTTGTTCGCAGAGTGATGAAAGAGAAGATTCAGACGAATACGAAGTTGATTCTGAATACGAATCAAATGTAAGTCGAAATAATTGTGTCATGCTAGCAAAATACTTTGAAAAATAACCATATATTTTTAGTTCTATAACTAACCAGGAAAGACATTTATTTGAAGTCGTAAGGAAATTGTCAAATTTGGCAGATTTCTTCAGCATTAAATGATTGTTTCAACTTAAAAAATTGTTACTATTTCATGATATTTTATAGCCAAGGGAAATTAGATATAGTTCAGGACAGTCGTTGCGATAGATATTTTTCAATTGTTTCGTAAGTAAAAAATGCTTAGAAATGATATGTACATAAAAGATACAGAAAATTTGTTGTATATTTTTATTTATGATCGGAAAACGGTCGAAACCCCGACGGAAATGTTTCTCCTGAAAAAATTTTATATGGTCTAAAAAAGTCTTAAAAAGTCTTACAAATGTTCGGATTTCGTACACCTGATTAATGATTATAAAGAGTTAATAACAGTTTTTAAAAATTCATAAAACCTTGTGGATACTCAATTTTTTAGCAAAATTGTTAAGTTACTTTTTTTATTTTTTTTATTTTTTCTACATTGTTCATATAGTTGCTTGTACAGTTTTTTCACCATGACTTTTGTCAACTGTGGATACCGATCAAAAATGTCTTTAAAAATATTGAAAACTTTCATAACACTTAATAACTCTTAAAAACTCTTAATAACTCTATATAACAATTATTATAACTTGTAAACATTTTTTTTAAATTAAATAAGCAATTTCCTTACCCGTCTGAATATTTCGGAAACCAAATATCAGGTTTCACATAAATTTAAAAAATTTATTTATATCATTTAAAACTCTTATAAATTTTTATTAACTCTTAAAAATCACGGTACGAAATCTGAACATTTATAAGAATTTTTAAGACTTATTTAGACTTTTGAAGACTTTTTGCAAGTTTTTAAGAATTAAAGTAGCGATGAATTTCCGTAGGGGAAATATCATTTTTTAGGGAGCTTATTGATTTTCTAAAGGAAGAACTAATTAATGCTCATATATCAATTGACCTACACGTAGAGCTTATCAAACCCTTCCAAATGAGCCCTACCTGAATTTATTTGGTACATTTCGACACCTCTTACGAAAAGTAGGAAGTTTATATTTAAGTTAACACATAAACTTCCTACTTATCGTAAGAGGCAACGATTTGTTCTTTAGAAACGCATTAAAAGCTGTTGAATTATCGCTTTTTTCAATTGTTTATATCTTCTGAATAAATTAGCGAACTCTTTTAAACAGGTGTGGACAGTACACTCTCGGTGTACCTAATAAATGGTAAAAAATTCAAAATTATTCATGCAATACTTTATCGTTTACTTGAATTTGTTGCTCCCATTATGTTTATGAGGTCATTCTACACGTATGAACAAATTAATACAAATTCTATAAGTGACTAATTAAAAAGCAAGATTAATACTTTCCAAACTATTGACTGGAATAGTAAAAATTAACCGATAGTATATTAATTAAATTTAACATTTCTTGTTAAAGAAACATTTTTTGTTAGATGTCTCAATAGTTATAAACAAAGACGTTGTCAATCAAAGAAAAAAAACTCTACCTTTGCTTTTAATGCTTATAGAGACTTGAATTTTTTTTGTAAATATGCGTAAAACTGACACCTTTATGATGAAAGAAAAATAAAAGCTGCATCGATTAATGGAGCAAAGATATTCAATTTGTTTATAAGGATTGAAATACTGTCTTTTTTAGCTCAATTTTACAATAGATCTCGATTAATTTTTACTATTACAGTCAATAGGTTGGAAAGTATTAGTCTTGCGTTTTAATTAGACACTTATAGAATTTGTATTAATTTGTTCATACGTGTAGAATGACCTCATAAACATGATGGGAGCAACAAATTCAAGTAAACAATAAAGTATTGCATGAATAATTTTGAATTTTTTACCATTTATTAGGTACACCGAGAGTGTACTGTCCACACCTGTTTAAAAGAGTTCGCTAATTTATTCAGAAGATATAAACAATTGAAAAAAAGCGATAATTCAACAGCTTTTAATGCGTTTCTAAAGAACAAATCGTTGCCTCTTACGATAAGTAGGAAGTTTATGTGTTAACTTGAATATAAACTTCCTACTTTTCGTAAGAGGTGTCGAAATGTACCAAATAAATTCAGGTAGGGCTCACTTGGAAGGGTTTGACAAGCTCTATGTGTACGTCAATTAATATATGAGCATTAATTAGTCCTCCCTTTAGAAAATTAATAAGCTCCCTAAAAAATGATATTTTCGACCGTTTTTCGATCATAAATAAAAATATACAATAAATTTTCTGTATCTTTTATGTACATATCATTCCTAAGCATCTTTTACTTTAGTAACAATTGTAAAATATCTATCGCAACGACTGTCCCCAAGTCGGTATTACTTTTACTTAAATCTCTGGGCTATTAGTAATTACGCAAAACAATGTATGTGGGTCAACTTTCAAAATTGTGTTACTATTTATAATTTTGGATGCATGTTAATATTTTAATGGCTGAACTTTTTTTAAATTTTGCAATTTTTTTTAATCATTATAGGAAGAAGTAGAAAGAGAACTTGCACCAGAGTTTAACTGGAATGGACAATATTTAAATGAGCAATCTTCAAGTGAAAGTAATTCTGACGAAGAAGTTGAAAAAGTTGAAAAAGTTGTGATTCCTAAAAAAAAGAACAGTCAAAAACGGTCTCATTGCCAACTTGACTCATATAATGAAGAAGCTTCAACATCAAGACATAATAACGTATGTATTTTATTTTTACAAATTTTAAATTTTAATATTATTTGAATAAATTTTCTTATTGTCTTAATTATTTTTATTATGATAGTGTGATTAAAGAGTATTAGTAATTAAATGACGATATTTAAACACCATAATTGATATCATTAGGACAATTATCCAATACTTATTCACTAAATATGAATCATAATTATTTTTTATATAATTTAACTCATATAAACATACTTCATTCAGAAAAAGAACAAAATAACAAAGCACAATAAAAATGAGCACGAAAGACGAGCTGTAGAATCAGTGTTATTTGAAGAATTGGCTCAAGAAGATGAAGATGAAGACGAAGACGAAGACGAAGACAAAGATGAAGATGAAGACGTAGATGAAGATGAAGATGAAGATGAAGATGAAGATGAAGACGAAGATGATGATAACGATAATGATGATGAATCCATGATTGAAGCAAGGAACAAAAAAAGAGTATCACATGATAGTGAGAGCTACGATGATGATTTAGACTCAAATATGATCTCGAGTAAAGGCTATCTGGTTGCTCAAGACGGTGATGATGAAGAATCCGATAGTGCAGAGGAAAATTCAAATGGTTTTAATATGAAAAGTCTGCGTTTTTGTAGACCAGATGGTACACCTTGGGCAAACGATGAAGAAAGAGAAAGTTTCTTTGATTATGTCGTCAGAAAAGCTGAAGAGGATGAAGGCAACGAAGATGAAACAGATGATGAAAGTGAGGACAGTAATGCAAGTGACGATGACGATGTCTCCGAAGGAACGAAAGACGTTTTAAAATTTTTTGAATTGCATGATCCTGATGAAAATGATCCTGCAGAAATGGAAAGGCTCAAAAAGCTCGGTGACGTTGAAAATGAGAATTTAAGTGAAGAAGCGAAGGAAGATGCCAGAAAAACGAGAATTTTGGTGCAGTCTGTTTTTTCTGTTGCCACCATACTCCAGAAATTTCCGTTGGAAAAAGCATTAAAATTGGAAAAGAAAGCAAAAAACGTAAAAAGAAAGTGTAAGTGTTTCCTTCCATTAAAGCAATTAAAAATTTATCAAAAAAGTAAGTAATTATTAGAAATCAATATTTTGTTTTTTTGTAGGTGCGAGATTGAGGGCAGCTCTCATAGCAAACGGTTTTCCAGAAGATAAACTTCCTCCGACTATTACGAAAAAAAATAAAAAACGCTCTTAATTTTTGTTCGCAATGTAATACTTGTACCTATGTAAATATTTTTTGTACATTTTATGTTTTTGTATTCATATATGCAAGAAAATCTTGTACAATTATTTGTAATAAAATTTATATGCAAGCTAATTTATAAATTTATTTTTAAAAAATTGCTAAAAAAATATGACCTTATGAAAAACCAGAAAATCCAAAATTTAATTTCATAAAAATGAGAATCATTTTCAAAAGCGCCAAAACCAAAAGTACCTTGCAATTGTGAATTTATAAATTCAATGCGCTTGTTTTGCTTTTCTCTTTTCATGCGCCCTTATGTAAAGATAGCTAGATGTCTACTGTGCGCTGATTTAGCCGTTACATTGGGAGGTTTAGCACAAAAAAATCATGAATGAGATATGCAGACTAAAAAAAAAAAAACACAAGGCGCTAAATTTTCATTAAATGCTCTGCGCACGATAGTATTGAATTCGACCGAGCCCAGATGGAACGAAGAAAGGGAAAAAAGAGATTCAATTGTACAACGCGATCTAGCGCTCAGAACTTCTCGCGGATACCGTGTACTACCGTTCGCGTTAGAGGCCGAGCGAGAATAATATGTTAAAATTCAATGAAACCTCCCATTTGCTTTCGCGAGTCTGCAGCAACTATACATTATACGTATAACGCAGCATATACATTCGCAGGAGCAATGTACAGTGCAGTAGCTCGCGTTATTATTATGTGCTTTTGTGCGCGCGCCCCTAGACACAGGCACCCGTGTGCCGGTGCGCACGGCGGCAGCAGCAGTTTACTTAATTAAATCACATAATTTGCATTTAGCCGATGCTTTGATCAAGGTGCCACTGTCGCTATATTCGCTGCGCAGCAGGTTTTCTTCTCGATGTACCGGGGCAAAAATTGTAATTACGGTGTATCGTTTTCATGTATATATAGTTTATACCGCACGCTCCCGCACTACCCAATATTACGCGGGGACCGGTCGTAGGACACACGTATTATACGATACATTATATAATTTTGCATTAATACATTTTTCAGGAAAGAAAAGTAGGTAGCCGGGCGTTATTAAAACTTGCGAGCCGTGCGTAAGCAAGTTTGATGAATTTTTTTTCAATCGCAAACTCTGCTTTCGACACCTCGTAGCATGGAATATACTTTTACTCGTACTTGTGCATACTTTTTCTCGGCTATTAATTCACTCTTTTTCTCTTTTCCTCTCGCTCTCGCTCGTCGAACGGCCACGTTATATACACGCAAGAGCCGAGAGAAAATCTTCTCGCGGCAAATCGCGAAAAATCAATTTTAACGCTCGTGTATTGGAGCAGCTCTCGAGTACCTGTAGCCGCCCAAGCGGACCATTAAATATGTACGCGTCAAGCAGTACAGCTCTGCCGCGTACAAGCAACAATGCGTTTTATATTATATATATACAGGTACACACGTATGGCATCTGCGCTAGCTGCTGCGCCATCGAAAAGACTTCGACAAAATCACATCACTCGAGCGAACGATGTGCGAGGCTGGAGCACGTGTATGGTATAGTACCTTCGCGTTGGCGACGATTGCAGCCACATGATTGATCGCTGCACGCACACACACACACAAGCACGCGTGTGCTTGCCGTGCAGTATTATATAAAAAAAATTCTACCCTGGCTTTGGAAGCGTATTACATGCAAAATTGTAATCGGTAAGCGCGTCTGCGAGATTATTAAATTCGACGCGACTCGAGGACACGGACCCTTATCGTAAACGTGTGCGTTACGGGTATATACATCGATACAGACGCACGCGCATCGACTTTTCTTCTCGCGTACCGCACATAAAAATTTCCGATCTTTTGATAAGTTCGCGTATCGAGGCTTGCCTGACACGTTAATCAAGGAGCGGTGCGGCATGAATATTGCATGCTGCGAGATTGAAAATTACTCCGTCTCTCGTTGCCGCGCGCTGCTAATTTCCCTCTGTCTCTCGCTCGTGTTTATTTTTTTTTTATTTTATTCAGCGGAAACGAGCGTCCGATGGAAGTCGTTCCGACGGAGAGACTACTACTACCGATCGATTCGAATATAATTGACCGTAGGATGAGTTTGTATACAGGCTGACTGCTTGTATGTATACGCACAGTTTTGCAAGACTAGGCATTGTTGCTGCGGAGCAAGAAAAAAAGGTAGCCATCTCGTTAAGTACATTTAAATTCTCGAACGCGCATACATCACACGAGGCATATACGTTCGAATTTCAGACAATTCATTTGTCAAGCTATCTGCGTGTGCGAGAGAGAGAGCAAAAGAGAGAGAGTTGCCGATCGATCCCCTATATAGCTACTTTGCCCCGTGAACGCATACAGAAGCATACACACACACACACACAAACACAGATGCACAGCCGCACCTATATCTCTCTTTCTATTATTTCCTTTGATTTATACGACGCGCTCGAGTGACGCTCGGCTGCAACGCGGTGGTGCCGGCAGCGGCGGCTCAAAGCGCAATTTCGCGCTGTCGAGATATAGCTTCTTTGTGTGCGGGGGTGTATGTACGTGCACGCAAGCCTATTCTATACATGTATAGATAGCCTTTGTTATTTCTCTTTCTCACTCCAGCTCGTCTCTCTTTTTCATGGTGTTTCACTCTCTTTTTTTCCTTTTTTTTTTTTTTTATATATATATTATATGTGTGCGCCGCCGTGACGCTGTGCTACCGCAATGTGCCTATAGCGTTTTTACGTTATGTTCGGAGGAATCTCGCCGTAGCCCGAGTGAGATATTTGCAGAAGAATAATGCGTCAGATATCCGCGTGTGTAACGGCGGCTGCGAACGTATTGTCGCGCGCGATGACGAGATAAACCATTAGAAATGTCTGCGCTCGTTAAAAGGAGATAAAACTAAACCTATCGCGTATACTTATGTCTAGATTACGCAGACTTTATCGGGCTGTCGATAAATCGTCACTCAAGTATTATTAATTTTATAATTTCCTTGAAATTCATGCATTCATTTATGTTTGTTAAGTAAATAAATGTATTATATATGCACGCTCGAACTATCTCGTTGTAATTGATCGAGCGCATTTATTATTTCTAAATTCGCAACTCTCGGATAACAAGGGGTGGTTTCAATTACGCGCGTTGCGTGTACATGTATTTTGCCCTCCGTGGATTTAAATTACCGGAAAATTCCGATACCCCCTGCGCGTATGGGAAAATAATTGATAGATAACACGTGCCGCAACGTGGCTAAACTTCGAATTAAAATTCAATGAAAACCAAAGGTCAGAACTTATTGGTCGCGCGCAGTACATATTATGCCTGTAATGATTTTTGTGCGTTTGAACATGCACATGTGCGCAAATGAACGAGACCGAGTGTGATGCAATTGATTTTATGGTTTAAGCCTATGGGCTGGTGTGCTGAACAAGCGCACAGTTTATTCCAACCAATGTCGACTGCTTGAATCAGTTGTAATACTCGTTCAATGTTTATATTTTCTCCTTTCTTTACGTTCTTTACAAATGATGTAATTTGATTTACAAATAATTTAAAATAAAATAAGATGCTTGTGAATTTGTCATAGAAAATTGATTGCTTCGAGCGGGAAAGTATCGCAATGATTGTGAAATATTTCGAGAAATTATCAAACATGATTTGTAAAGTAATCAATAATTGGCGACTTATTGTTAGTAGTATTACCAATGAATTATTGGTGATTTGCTAAGTGTTAAAAAATTCCAATTACCGTAAATTAATTACATTTATGATTGTAAAGTTTTAATTTCAGTTTTAACAGTGCGACATTACGTACATAATAATAAAACGAGCACGAGTAATTTATCAGGGCATGTAACGACTGACCGACTTTTCGGAGCCAAGTTTGTGTATAGCGCCTGTGGCTTTGTGCGCGGCAGCAAGAAGAATGGAGAAAAACGAAAAGTCACCGCCAAGCCACAGATGTGTTTTCGCATTGTTGTCACGCTCTTTCTCTCTCTCTCTTTCTCGTCTTTCTCTCTTTTCTTTCGGCTGACTTGAATCAATCTCCCTTGCGAGCATATTCGAGGATGTCAAAAGCGAGTTTCTCAACTTGGCTTTATATTTGTCCTCCTCGCTCGGTGCAATCTATCGATCGTGTAAGATTAATATTATATAGGTATGTGAAAGAGTAAATATGTGCTACCTCTACTTTCATTGCATTCGTGTAAGACGGCGGAACATGATAAAAAAAAGGGTGTTCTCTTCGGCTTGACATTGAGGTGGATGTAGTTACAGTAGTAAATTCTATTACGGACAGCGAACCAAGAGAGAAGGAGACGTTGACAATACGTTTATCATTTTGTAAGTAATAGTACTCGAGAGAAAGGAGCAAAGGAGAGAGGAGAAAGAGAGTGGGTAAGATAGAGAGGGAGAGAGAAAAAGAAGGGAAAAGAGAAAGTGTCAGAGAGTATGAAAAAGCACACGGTGGGATAGCAAAGTAGTAGTGTTACCAATGCTATTCTGTTAAGGAACTCCTTTCTTGCCGGTTCTCTCTCTCTCTGTCTTTCTCACTCTTCTGTCGACATGGCTAACAACGAGCATGAGTGAACATTCATTCTTTCTTTCTTTCTCTCTCTCTCTCTCTCTCTCCCAAACAAGTATTAAAACTAACTTCAAATAGCGAAAGTTTTCTTCTTTTGCTGACGTTTTTACCTTTTCTGCGCACGCCAGCTAAGAAAAAAGGACCCTAGAAGCTTTATGATGCTGGCTTTATTCGTATTTATGTTTGAGACTTGACTTATATCAACTATATATAGCATAGAGAAAACGTCAGCGCGTATATGCACACGTCAGTTCGCGTCGAGCGTCGGACTATTCGTCGAAGTTTTAGCAGCAGTGACCGACAAGCAGCGAGTGGCGCTTGCTGGAGCCGCGACGGCAAAACTTTACCCGGCGCGGAGAGAGAGAGACTCTGACAATTCGCGAATATAAATTTGCGGTCACGCGCGTGCGAGCGAGTGCTGCGTTTGTAATGAAGTTAGAAAGGCGCGTGACTGCGACTGCGTGTTTGTTTTCGTCTGCTTGAACCGCAGTGGATGAAATTCTGCGAAGGGGTGCATTTTTCAAACTCNCCGAGCCGTCGTGACGCGAG